CTCGCAGCATAGCAAGATATCCATAAGTTGCAAGCTGCTATGTCAACAGCTTCAAGGCTACCAGAAGGAAAGGACAAAAGACAAGATGCCGCAGTAAGACGAGGGTCCCCTCAAACCCCAACAACCGTGGAGGAAAGGCGCCAAAGTACAAAGATGAACTCAGTCAACTCGCAGTCAGCAGCAGCTATGGTCTCTCCTTAAGAGAGCAGAAGCAAAGGCGGCGGCTCAGAGGTTCCCTCAAGGCGCGCACCTTGGACCGAGCTCAAGGTCTCTCCTCTCGCCGCAACGACGCTTTCACGCGGTGTAGCTTGATACTAGTCTGCTGGCTTGATTCAGAGCTTTGTAGGTGAACCCGCTTATGCTGAAATGTGAGTAAAGCCAACAGGTGTTCGTGTAGACTAGCAGACTATCCTATCCTGGCTGATCAGAGCTAATGTATTCGCCGATAACCTTTATGAAAGGTCTAAACAATCCTATGAAATATCTAAAACATATCCCCAAATTTGGGCATGTTAAGCACCCGCCGCCCATGGCGTTCGTAAACATGGGGCGAAATTCTTGCATGGCATCGTGTGTCAAGGCCACTTGTCAAACCCTAGCTAAGTGCCTCGGTTAGTTTGCAAAGCTTTGCGCAAAGTACAAGCGTTTATTATGTGTTCGTGGTTGTTACTGCCATGTGTGCAAGGCCTCGCTAGCGGCGTCCGGGCCCCTGACCCAGATGCCAGCTCCCCAGTCTAGAGCAACTTCGCTGCCAGGATAGGTGTAATATACCATACACTTGTCCTTGTGAGCTCAGTACTTGATTGCTGTCGACAACATAGGGTTTGGGTATCGTACGGTGGCGCGCATTGTGCCTGCTGCGGACCCTCGTTGACCCTCGTCGACCTTTCAAGTCCCAGATTACTATTACGTGTTATGTGTTTGAAAGGGATACATACAAGCAAGAAGACATTCCTTTTAGATACTCTTGAGTACGTACGGCGTATCCAATTCGCACTAGATTTCGTAATCGTACTCGCATTTGTGGCAACGCCCCATTCAGCCTGTCGTGCAGGACGAATGTGCAAAAGGCGCCAAGTCTATGCCAGAGATAGCCAGACGTGTGCGATAATTATGCTCACGGTAGTATGAGACACTTACTTAGGTTGGGATGCGAGCGTGAAGTAAGGTCTCATGAAAGCAGGATCGAGTTTTCACGGATGGCAGCTGGATATGGGTCGAGGTACCGAGAAATATACATCAGACGGACATAGCTACCCTTTATAGTATGAAATAGCTTTCTGTTTGGATTGCGACGCCTCCTTTTGCTTCCGATAGGCCCTGCTGGAGCATTATTTCGAGCTTTGTGATTGGTATACTTGGTAACCGAGCGGAACCAGGTATAGCGCCATGCGTGATGCGTTCATTAGGAGCGACGTAATCCTACCTTCCTTGGCGGGGAATTCAGCATATGGAATCAACAATAGCTTTATATTGCCGCGAACGTTGCTCCGAAGCAAGTGCTTGCCATTTACGCACTTTTATATAAACCTGTGCTTCATATGACCCATGGGTCAGCATGAAGCGGCAGCCGGCTACTTCGTCCGGCAGCGAGACTCGGCGCCTTCCACGGCCCGGCCGGCCGCAGCGAAACTTCATAAAAGCAATGGGTGGCAACAATGAAGGTTGTGTGGTTAAACAAACCCTTTTGCGAGACCGCACCTGTCCTTCTGGCGGCTACCGCAGCAGGCCGCGACTGAGGCTTTCAATCGCGTCCAACAACACGTCCATTTACCCGTACGGTACTGGAAAGAGTTGCCACAACAAGCTATTCTTCGTTTGAGCAGTATAGCTCTAATACTGGGTAGCCATCTAGCCAAGCTGGGAACGAAACGGTATGTCGCGCGCTTCGGTTGCAACTGTTCCAGCCTGATTCCTTAAGAGATTCCTCAACCATCAACGGGCTATACCTATCTAGCTACCAAGCAACCGACAAATACACAGCAGAAGGTTACATCGACCTGCTGCTGCGGCGGCAATCATGAAGGTGGAGCGCGTAGCTCGGGACGCAGTGCGGGTGGTGTCCAACGTACTGGAGGCCGTCAAGACGAGGCACATCGGCAGGCCCGCGATTGGAACCCAATGCAAGGCAAGAGCACGTTGTACCCCTTCCTTGCTTTCCGAGGCAGGCACACACTAACGCAGAGATAGTGGCCTTTTGCGGATTCGGGTGCCATCCACGCGCCACGCGCGCGCCGGGCGCGTATCTTTGCATGCGCGAAGGAGGGAAGGAAGGAGCACAAACACCTTGCTGCTTGCCTCGCAAGAAGCCGCATGCGGGATTCCTCACCGACCCAGATGCTGTATGTGCGGTAACCTGCTACAAACCCAAGCTCTAGGCTTGCCCATGCCTACCAGCTGCCGCCAATACACGTCCCCTTATTTCTGTCCCCTTAATTCTAATAGCCCCGCACCTGCTCCATTCCATGCTACCTGCTGCTCCCGCGCCCTGCCCGTGCCCCTGCTACTGCTGCCCCTGCCTGCCGCCCCCCTGCTCCCTCGCCCTGCTCCCTCGCCCTGCCTGCTGCCCCCCCGCTGCACCTGCTCCCTCGCCCTGCCCCTCCCCACCCGCTGCCCTGCAGGGTGTCCTGGTGCTCCACTCCACCAAGGGGGCGGCGCTGCTGGGTCTGGAGCGGGGGCACGGACTGGCGTTCAGAGTGGGACTGCGGGGACCGCCGTGGGACTTGACCTGCATGCTCCTGCGTGCCGCCTCCTTCAGTCGGCTTTCCTGTCACTTGCACGGCTGCATGCATCCGATGAAGCCGTTCACTAAGATTCGGCAGCAGATTGAACGCGGTTGGGCGTTTTTGTAGGCTGATACCCCCAAAACACAACACGCACCGTCCTCATCCCGCGCCCACGCCCCCACGCCCCCCCCACCGTACGCCAGGTCGTTGAGGCGCCCCCCGGTGGCCCCCCCCGGCTGTCCGCCCCGGTGCTGCTCCGGGTGTGCAAGCTGGCGCTGGGCGTGCAGCTGGGTGCGGGGGGCGGGGCGGGGGCCGGGGGGCGGGGGGCGGGGCGGGGGCCGGGGGGGCGGAGGTGGGGAGTGTGCGTGGGAAGGGGAGCGGGAACGAGGTCGAAGGTCGGGGAACGAGAGGGAAGAAGAAGAAGAAAACACCGTGAGGTGCCTCCTCGCCCAACCCATGATGAAGCTTTGTCGTACAGCAGCTCGTCAATTTCTTCTTATCTTTTCCTCCACCTCCCTCTCCCTCTCCCCCTCCAGGCTACACAAGTGTGTTCACGTTAGTGCTGCTGCGCCAGGAGGGGCAGCTGGAGGGGCTGGTGGCTCGGGACTCCGAAACCATCATGGTAGGAGGCTAGGGGGGGGCGGGGGGCCGGGCATGTGCGCACGTCGTTTGTCGTACATGAAAGAATGTACTCTTTTTACTTATGCATGCTCGCTGAGCGTCAAGAAGCAATTGCGTCATGCCCGGCCTCGCAGCGAAGGCTCCTCTGCTTCTGATTCCTGACACGGCCCCGCTTGCCACCCCTGCTACCCCTGCACCCCTGCTACATCTGCGTGCAGGGCAAGGCAAGGCTCCAAGCAGGGCAGGCTACGTGACGTTTCGGGATTTCGATAGGGTCGGCAATTGTTGCATAGCTGGCTCATCCAGAGAGAAGAGCGTACGTAGAGGATCGGTTGTTACTGCTGCTGCCGCTTTGCCGATTGTTGTTGCAGACCGTTAAGCTTCCTCCTCCGCCGCCGCCGCCGCCTCCGCTGCATGTTCCAGGACTTTGACATCTCCGGCATGCCGCAACCCGATGTGAGCGGCATTGAGACGTCCTACCACCAGGTGGGGGTGGGGGTGAGGGGGTGGGGGTGAGAGGGTGGGAGGGGGGTAAGGGAGTTCAGGGGTAAGGCGACCTTGGTGTGGAGGGCCTGCTGTCGACTACCGCGCCGTGGCTTGCGATGCGGCATCATGCACCATTGCTTAGCGCACCTCGCCACAACCCCCCACTTGTGCGTGCCGCTTCCCCCCTAACACACTTCTCCTCACCTCTCTTGCTCCCCCTACCTGCCCCATCCCCATCCCCTTCTGCCTCCCATCCCCGTCCCCCAGACCTCCATGTCCCCCCTGCCATCTGCTGCCGGCCCCACCCGCCCCCACACCGCCACGCCCCCCACCATCCTCTCCGTCTCAGACAGCCTCATGGTGTGCGACCTGTCGCTGTACGGCAAGTGTGTTTGGAAGTGTGCTCCCGGGTGGGGTGGGGGCAGGGTGACGTCTTGGCGGTGAGACGCTGTCAACCCCGGAATCACACGCTCTGCCAAAACGCCTACCAACGCCTGCCCGCTTTCCCTCCCTCTTAACCCCTAACCCCGATTTGTGCCCGCACTCCTCACCTATCGCTTCCTTCCTACCCTTTAACGGCGGCTCTCCCCCGTCCCTCCCTCCCTCCCTCCCAGGCGGCACTCTGGCGGTGGACCGGGAGCTCATGCAGGAGGTGTACGGCAGCGGGTACGGCAGCGCCTTGGATGTGTTGTACGGCAGGGTGGGGCTGCCGCCTGCTGCTGCTGCCGATGGGGGGGCAGGGGAAGAGGCGGGTGCAGGGGCGGGTGCGGGAGCGGGAGCGGGTGCAGGAACGGGTGGGGCGGCGGAGTGCCTGTGGGCGGCAACGGAGGCGGTGGCTGCCGTACTTGCGGAGCTACTAGCGGAGCCGTACGATTAGGCGGAACATGAAGCAGGGAAGAGGGTCTTCCTGAAGAAGGGAAGAGGGGCTTGGATACCTGATGAATTCGGATTTGGAGGATTCTAGGGTGACAGATTAGCCGTTGGAAGGGATGGTGGCTTGCAGGTGGTCTCTGGCTGTTTGTCGCTGTGGGGGCTGCGGCAGGTGTGTGTGACTGGTGTGGGAGATGCTTTGCTACTGCCGCTTGCGCAGGGACGCATTGCGAAGACAAGTACGGCACCCAGTCACGGAGCCATGGGCACCAACGGCGTTGATCATGTCCTTGGCCCTGTGCTTTGAGCCTATAGCTTTATCGCGAGGCGCACAATTAAAATAACAATGGTCCTTCACCTGTTGTACTAGCTTCCTGCCGCCACTCGACCTGGTAACAAACCGCTGACAGTTTTCCGATACTCCTGCGAGTAACATTCACCTTTGCGAAGCACTATATGAACAATCAATTACGAACATGTAGCTTATCGCTATATTCGTTGGCATTTGGGCCTCCTTAAGTAATACGTAACATGTTGAACCAGCCGGCCCAGAACGACAGAATAACATTTGTTAGCGAGTTTAATAGTAATCATGTTCGCCTCAAAATACTATCAAATGTCAGCGCAACTAGAACACTCGCTGGAGGCCTGCCATCGCCGCCTAAGACAGCCCCTAATTCGGCCTCCGAAACGCTAAGGGGCCGATGCGTATGCGGAGCGCGCCTACACCGCAGCTCTGCTACTTCAGACTCACGGCGTAGGGCGCCGGTTGGCAAAAAGTCAACCGTCGATTCCCATCGCCATCCGCACGTCCACCATCCCCAGCCGCTCTTTACCCAGCCACCCGATCCTTGTCAGCTCCTTCACGGCATCACCTCCTCTCCCGACCTTTACTCCCTGCTTGACCTGCTCCACCACTCCGAACCGTACCTCAACCTCCGCCATCTAGATGCCGCCCTCAATCGTCTCGCGCGCTTCACCTCCGCCACCCACAACGACACCCCTCCCACCTCCCCCTCCTCCCCAATCCACACCTCCTCCTCCTCCAGCTCAGCCCGCGCCACCGCCCTCCGCCTCCTCTCTCTCATCCTCCCCGCCCACGCCGCCTCCCTCTCTCCCCGCGACGCCGCCAGCCTCCTCTCCTCCCTCTCCCGCCTGCACCTGCCTCCCCCCGCCCCCCTCGCCGCCCTCCTCACCTCCTCCCTGCTCTCCCAGCTGCCCGCCGCCTCCCTGCGAGACCGCGTGGCGCTGCTCCATGCGGCGGCGGCGCTGCGGCTGGTGCTGCCGGCGGGGGCGGTGGGTGCGCTGCTGGGCAGCATGGAAGGGGAGCTCGGGAGGCTGGGCAAACCGCAGGTGGGAGGAGGTGCGGTGTGCGGGTCCTCCCTTCTCCTCCTGCGGTTTCACTCCCTTTAAGCCCTGTTCACATGCGTCCCTGGAACGACAAACAACGCACGGTCCGACTAGCTGCCAGTTTTCTTACCACACCCGCACATGCACCCCAGCAGGACGTCTCCATGGCTCTGTGGGCCCTAGCCCGCCTGGGGTTCCGCCCCCCCGCCCGCTGGCTGTCCCGCCTGCTGGCCCGCCTGCCCCCGCACCGCCTGGCGGACTGGGGGCCGCAGGCGCTGGCCAACACCGCCTGGGCGCTGGCCAAGATGGGCTGGGCGCCGGGGGCGGGGGCGCGCTGGGCGATGGAGGAGGAGCGGGGGGAGGAGGAGGAGGAGGAGGGTGTGGGGAGGGGACGGGGTTACAAGGAGCGGTGGTTGGGGTGGCTGGTGGCGGCGAGCGGGCCGCTGCTGCAGGTGAGGAGGTGGTGGTGGGAGAGGGGGAGGTTGCGGGGGTGCTGGTGCCAGTGAGACATGGGCGGGAATGGGTGCAATAGGACTGTTGTTTGAGACGCTGCCGCGTCGTACAGGGGATGCCTCAGCCCATTCCCCCCCTCCCCCACCCCTCCTGCATGAGTCGGGATTCGGATTGGGACTCCGATGATGCATTTATCTATATTTTCCACCCCTCCTCCCACCCTCCGACCCCTCCCCAGACCTTCCGCAGCCAGGAGCTGTGCAACCTGCTGTGGGCGCTGGCCGTCATGCGGCACCGCCCGCCCGGGGACTGGCTGGGGGGGCTGATGGGGCAGCTGTACGGCAGGGCGCCGGGGCTGACAGCGCAGGTGGGGGGATGGGTTGGGATGAGGGAGGGACAGGAGGGGGGCGGGGGGGGGTGGCTGGCGGGCAGCCGCATGGCCCCTTGTGCCTCCTCTGGGTTGAACGTTAGGGGCGCTGCAGTATTAGGGCGGCGGCCCCTTAACACCAGCTCTACACGCTTGCTGGCGAGATGTGTGTGCCGTGGGCCATGTGCTCGCGGCCTGCTGCCCACACCTCCTCTAACCCCCCCCCACCTCCCCTCCCTCCTCCGCGCCCCCTGCCCCCCCAGGACGTGGCACATGTGTGTTGGTCGCTGGCGGTGCTGCGGGTGCGACCCGGGCTGCCGCTGCTGCAGCGGCTGCTGGTGCGGGCGCTGGGGGTGCGGAGGGAGCTGACGCCGCAGGTGGGAGGTGGGAGGGGGAGTGAGGTGGTGGGGGGGGGGTGAGGTGGTGGGGGGGGTGAGGTGGTGGGGGGGGGGGGAGTGGGGAGGTGGGGGGTCAAAGGAGCCATGTGCTGTGGCTGGGGAGTGGGGAGGACGGAGGAGTGGGTTGGGAAGGGCTGGGTTGCTGGACCTGGCTGTTGGGAGCGGCAGTATGCATATATTTGGTGTGAGAAGTGGCTTGCAGACTCCCATGCATGAAATCCCCACCGTCCCATGGGTCGCTCAGCTCAGCGGGGCGCGGTGACGTTCTTGCCGCACCCGCACCCGCACATCCCTCCCCACCCACTCCCGCACCCGCACTTCCCCCCCAGGCCCTCATTCTCACCCTGTGGGGCCTCTCCCGCCTGCGAGTGGCCCTGCCCGAGCGGGCAGTGGCGCTGCTGCTGCAGGGCGGCATGGGCGCCTCAGCGCTGGCGGCAGCAGCGGAGGAGGCGGGTGTTGAGGCGCCGACGGAGGCGGCACCGCCCGGCGTACGGCACCCTCCGCCGCCGCCCGTGCACGCGGCGGCGAACGCGGCATCGTCGTCGTCAGTGCAGATGGAGGTTCCGGAGGCAGCGAGGGCCTCCTCCGTCATCACCCCCGGGGACCTGGCGGGTGCGGCGGTGGTGCTCGCCCGCTGCCGCCACATGCCGCCCCGCAGGTGGCTCGGGCGGGTCGGGCTTTGGCTCACACGTTGCAAACCATGATGAAGCCTTATCACACAGCCAATTAGTCAGTTAGTTTGTTGTTTCCTCTTTGCCCCCCGCAGGTGGCTGGCGAGATGGTACGGCGCAGTGGCGGCCTGGAGGCAGCGCTTCACGCCCACGGAGCTGGCGACGCTGTTGTACGGCATCGCGGTGCTGGGACTGCGACCCATGGGTCACTGGCTGGACCTGATGCTCACGGAGGTGGAGCGACACGTGACTGCTGCGGCTGGTGCTGCTGATCCTTTAGTGGCGACGGTGGCGGAAGTGGCGAGATGGAGACGCAGTGATGGCTTGGTAGCTGCGGCAGCGTTAGGGACGGGGACAACGGCAGCAGCAGATGGAGGGGAACAACAGACGGCCTCCGTCTTTACCGCTACCGCCGCCGCCGCTGCCGGAGCCCGCTGCCGCTGCCGGCTGAGTGCCACGCAGCTGACGCTTGTGCTGTGGTCGGTGGCGCGGCTGGGTCACCCGCCCCCGCCCGCCTGGGTGGGAGCCGTGGCGGGGGGGGTGGCGGAGAGGCTGGAGGTGAGGGAGGGAGGGATGTCTCCTGTACCCCATGCCTCGACAGCTGCTCCCGTGCCTTCCTGGCTGCCTCTCTTCCTCGCCCTCTTCCCTCTCACCCCTCCTTCCACCCCTCTGTGCCACACCCTCCCGCCCCCTTGCTCCTGAACCCCGCCCTGTTTGCCCTAACCTGCAATCTCCTTCGAGGAACGGCTCAGTTTCCCTCTGTCGCCCCCCTCAACCCTCCCCCTCCCACCTCTTACCTCCCCTCCAAGGAGTTCAACCCGCGTGAGGCCGCTGCCACCCTGCGCGCCCTCAGCCAGCTCATGGGGGCGGCGGCGGAGCGGAGGCGGGCGGAGCAGGCGGCGGGGCGGGGCGGAACCGGCAGGCGTCGCCGCCACCACCTCCGCACCCGCAGCAGCAGCAGCAGCAGCCCCTATCGCAGCAGCGGCGTTGCTGCCCCCACTTCCGGTGGCGCCTCATTAGGCGGCGGCAGGGGCTCCCTAGCCGCCCTGGTTGCAGTTGGGCATCTCAGCATGCATGCAGGGGGGTCTGCCGGGGATGGCATGGGGGCTGCGGAGGAGGAGGAGGAGGAGGAGGAGGCTGAGGAGGCAGGAGAGGAAGAGGAGGCAGAAGAGGCTGAGGAGGAGGAAGATGAGTTGGAGGCGCTGGTGTCAGGCCTGGTAGCCCGGCTGGCTGAGAGTCTGCCGGAGCGATGTCTGTACGGCACCCTGAGGGCCGCATCCCTGGCTCGCAGCGGTGGGGGTGGGGGTGGTGGGGTTGGAGGAGGAGGCGTGTCGTACGCCACCGCAGCGGATCAGCAGTTGTTGGAGGTGTACAGTGTGAAGAGCCTGGGGCTGCTAGCTGCGGGCAGGAGGGGGAGGGGAGGTGGGGGGCAGGGGGCGGTGGTGGGGGCGGCGGGTGGGGAGGGGCCGTTGTGAGGCTGGAGCGGTTCCAGCTTCCATGATAGCTTTGGTGCGGGTAGGGGTGGACATGTGAGGCGGTGCGGGCAGGCAGGTGGTCACAGCGGGTTGCGCAGACCCCCCCCGGCACACGCACGGCTGTCAGGTTGTAGAGTAGCGGCGGGTCCATGAGCATTGGGGCCGAGGAACAAGGCGACTGGCGGTTACCAGAAACCACAGAGTAGTTCATCAGATGGCAGTTCAATAGGGTAGCCTAGTAAAGCAGGTGTACAGTGCCGGTAGGTGCAAAAGGAGCAGTAGGCGCCGTAGGCTCATAGGTCCGTCGAGCGGGGAGGGGTGACGGGAGGATGACGGAGGAAGGGCGCCGGCATAACACATGATGGATGGCGCACAAAGGGGAGACGCGTGGGGCAAAAGGAACCCCCGTGATGTTTAGGTATACAGCTTGGACTGTTGTTGAATGTTTGTTGTTGACATGTTTGTTTTGACATGTGACACCTAAAAATGTTGTCTGTTTTTTAGCCTTGTTGGTTTTTGTTCTTGCTTTTGTTGGATCTTGTCTGGTGCCGTGTGCAGTATATCATAATTGATAGCACGCAGGACATTGGTTGTCGTTCCGTGCCCACCACAGGGCCGAAGGGCCATCCGCGCCTAAGCCAGGATAGGGTTCGGTAGTCGTGCCGTTGCCTTTGTCGCACGAGCGTTGCTGTGCAACTGGCATGTAGCTTCGGTTGGTAGTGAGGTAAGCCGTATCGTCTCCGTTCAACGCTAACTCATATTTCAACCGAAGTCATACTTGTATAACAAAGATACGCTTCCTGCTATACATAATCACGCTTGTATTTCCATTCACGGCATCCTTCCCCATGCAAAAGAATCATACCAAGGGTCCACCGGTATACACGGACGTCAGTCAGCCAGCTAGCAGGAGCAGCAGGGGCTCCACCTGCCGGATAGAGGCAAGTCACCCGGGATCTGCGACCTCCTGGCAGCAATCGGCCCAGCAGATGACCCACGGGTCATTAGTGGCGGGCGGGCGGGCTTTACGAAACCGGGAAGTAGCATGCCGTACCATTTAGTCGGTAGTTCTTCTCTTATAAGTAGGCAGCGACAGTTCTCATGCATCTACCAAAAGTACCAACCAGAGTGTGGTCAACAGAGGTTAACAGACGGCCTTTTAGGACAACACCAGCCGTCAAAGATAATTACGTTCGGTTCTTGACAATCAACGACCAACAGCCAGCAACGAACGCCGTACAGGCGACTAGCAGACGTGTGTCCTGTCAACGCATTTTCCTTACCAATAAACGGCGAACCTGGCAGCACAGGCACAAGGAGCCCAACCTAAACCAAACCAAAGCAACAAACACCACTGCTCCGTACCATGCAATAAGCAAACGGAAGCAAGCTGTGGTGAGCAAAAGAAAGAAACGTCGTCGCACCGACCACCTTGCACTCTTTCCCCACCACCACCAATGCAATGCAACGCCTTGTACTGTCCATTGCATGGGACGCATTTGTAGCCCTCCCTTCCCCCCTTTCCACGGTCCCCCGGGTATTTCTGCAGGCATTCCCGAAGTAACTCCGCATGTCTCCACTAACAATATATATCGATCGGTAGCCGCACGCATCGGGGCTTCGAGCTCCTCAAACACGGCATTCCCTCAGAAGGACGACCCACAACAACTAATTCCCCACTAACAATCCCCATGCTCTTGCAGCTATGCATGAACACGCCGCTACTACCCCCCATGCACAACCCCCAGTACCCCCATGCACGCGGTTCGCAGCTCTGCACACAATGCCAAGGCACCTTCTCCACCACCTCAGTCCCAATGGAATGCCACCTTCCTTCCCCTCGAGCGCAGTCCAAGTAATTCCTTCCTTCCTCTCACGGTCCAAGTACGCAGGGCCTAGTGATGCCAGCATGCCCTAGCCCCTCAAGCCAAATTCCCATGCATCAAGCTCTGGTGGTAGCATGCAGGCCGGCCAGCCAGGAGGGCGGGATGTGAGGGGGGGGGGCAACCCGGACCAAGGACGCTGCACTGCAGGTCACCGCTGCTGCAGGGCGGGTGCCCTTTTGAGTCCGATAGTAGCACCGATAGCAGCCCCGCTTTCCCCTCTACTGCCGCCGCCCCTTCACTGCTGCTGCTGCTGTCCCTCCTGCGCCATCCCCACCGTCGCCGGCACCCCCACCCCCATCTGCTGCTGCTGCAGCTGCAGCTGCAGCGCCAGGTGCCCCTCCTCGTCCCGCACGCACTGCAGCACCTCCAGCGGCTCCTTGATCCCCTTGAGCACCATGGGGCCCAGGCTGACCGCCGACAGGTTCAGACAGGGCGGCAGACCGCCTCCCGAGGGCGGCCGCAGCGCCTCCGCCGTGACGCCCTCCCACGCGGCGCCACTGCACAGCACCTGCCCCGCGGCTGCGATGCCTGCGATGCGTGCTGCGCGGTTCATGACGCGGCCGCGGTAGCTCAGGCGGCCGGAGGTGGCGGTGAGGGAGCAGGCCGCGAATCCCACGTCGATTCCCACCTGGCAGGGAGGGAGCGGGCGGGTGGGTGGGTGAGGACCGATGGAGAAGAGGTTATAAGGTAGTGCACGTGGAGAGTAATGGTTGTCCTGCCTTCTCACCCCTCCCAGTACCAACCAGCTACCCCGTCCCCTTGCCCTCCCCCTTGCCCTCCTCCTCTCCCGCCCTACCTTGATCCTTAGCCCGCGAGACAGCGTGGTCGCCTGCCGACTGAGTGCCACTGAGGCAGGCCGCACGAACGCAGTGGCCCCTGCCGCCCCGCTACCCTCCCCTCCTGCCCCAGCCCCTCCCGCTCCTCCTGCTCCCGGTGCGGCGGCTCCCGACCGCAGCCTGCTCGCTGCGCCCCCAGCCGCCGCCCCCGCAGCAGCGGCAGCAGCCAGGGAGGCCCCTGTTGGTGCCGGTGCGGGTGCTGGTGACGGTGTTGATCCCAGTTGGGGCGGCGGGGGTGTGCCTCCTCCGCCCGAGGGGCCGGTGACGGACTGCACGACAGCTCGTTGCGCTGCCAGGGTTACGACCTGGGGTGGGGGGGGGAGGGGGAGGTGGGATGAGGGTGAGGAGGAGGAAGCAGGTAAGTGGATGGGTGTTTTGTTAAGTGGGCCGCCCAATGCAAGCATGCAGGCCCATGTACTTGCTGTTCCTACCACCATCTCTGCCCAACACCCTTGCCCGCCTTTGGTCCCCTGACTGTCCCTCCAGCCCTCTGCTGCCTCTCTCCCTCCATCCCTCGCCCTTACGCCCTTCTCCTCAGCTGCCCTCCCAGCCGCCCTCACCTCCTCACACAGCTCGTGTGACAACAGCGCAGGGTCCCAGTCCTGCGTGTCGAGGAAAGGAGGGGGGCACGTTAGCAGGTACCTGGGCACCACGTAATAACCACGTTACGCGAGTGCTTCAACCGAGCATCCGACCATGCACGACCCATGGGTCACACAGCCCAAACACACACCCACATCCCTTCTAACGTACCCAACATGGTCGTCTCTTAACCTCTTTCCTTCCCCCGTTCACCCACATTAACTGCAGTATAGCCCCAACAGCGTTACTATATTCCTTTCCTCTCGCCCACCCACCCCACCCTCTCCACCCACTCACCAACCGCTTCAGCCCATCCACGCAGTCCAGCGCCCACTCCGCAGCCGCCGCGGGGGACCCGAACGCCGCCAGCACCAGTCCGTTCCCGCACCCCTCCACCAGGTAGCCCCCCGCACCCCCCAGCAGCCCGCACACCAGCCGCTGACACTGCTCCAGGGCTGCTGCTGCGGGGCCGGGTAGGTCGGCAAGCAGCGTGGCGGCACCCACCACCTTGAGGAATGCAACCGAGACACGACCCGTGGGGGCGTCGAGGGAGGAGACCTGGGCCACCCAGAGGCTCTTGAGGGGCGGGCAGAGGGCGAGGCGGCAGAGGAGGGGCGTGGGTACGGCGATGTAGAGGGGTTGGGGCAGGAGCCAGTAGTTGGGGGAGGAGGCGGAGGGGGTTTGGTGGTGGTGGTAGGAGGAGGTGGAGAAGCGGTGGTGGCGGTGGGAGGAGGGGTTGGAGGGGGCGGTGGCGGGGGGGTTGGTGGTGGTGGGGTGGTGGCGGGAGGGGTGAGAGGTGGTGGGGTTGCGACGCACGAGGGTACGCCCCCGGGACTTGGCGAGCAGGAGCGCTGGCGGAGGCGGCGGACGGTATTGTACGACAGCGCCCGATGACGGCGCCGTGGCGGCGGCAGCGGCGGAATCATTGGCCCCGTCGTCGTCCCCGCCGCTGCCGTTGCCGTTCCGAGTGCCGCTGCTGTCTCCCCCAACTCCGCCTCCCAGACTGCTGCTGCCACCGCAGGCGCTAGCGTCATTGCCACTAACCCCCATGCTACCAACCGCGCTACCCCCCCGGGGGCCTCCTCCCCCAGCCATGATGGGAATCCCCTTCTCCAGCTCCTCCTCCTCCTCTTCCTCTCCCCCCTTCGCCCCCTCCTCCCCCCGCACCGCCCCCAACTCCAACTCCACATGCCCCGACTCCACCGGCGGATCCACACCCGCCCCCACCGCCGCACTCGCCCCCACTGCCACACCACTACTACTGCTACCGGTACCCCCCGCCGCCACCACCACACTCCTCTTAACACCGCCCCCGCCGAAGCTCAACCTCGGCGCCGGCGGCAGCAGCGCCGCAATCCCGCGCCGCATTGACCCCGCCAACGACCCCGGCACACTCGGCGGCGAGATGGCGACCGACAGCGGCGCCGCCGCCGCCGCCGCCGCCGTGGCGCCGCCGCTCCCATCCTCCTTGAGCACATGGTGCCCTGCGTAGGCCACCAGCACGTCCCGCACCGCCTTGCAGCCCGCCTGCCCCAGCTCCACGCTGTTGCGGAGGCGGGCGAAGGAGGCGGCGGACATGACCACCAGCCCGCCGGGGACGGTCTCACTGACCAGACGGGCGGCCTCGGCAAAGTCACCTGGGGGGGAGAGGGTTGGGGTTGGGGTTGGCGGGGGGGATGTTCCTGGCGTTACTAAAACCGGGCTGCCGTGGATTGCTTTGTGTGTATGTGCATGGAAACGGTGGATACGGGCCGCGAGGAGTGGTTAGCAGTGTGTGTTAAGAGGACTGGCCTCAAATGTGTGCTACTATATCCGCTCCCTGGTCCCCCGAGCCTCCCAGTGACCCGCGGGTCGGGCCACTCACCGCTGTACTGGTAGGATGCGGCCACTTTGTTGAAGACCACGTGGCGCGGGTTCTCCAGACCCGAGTGCAGCTGAGGGAGGGGAGGTGGTGGGGGGTGAAGAGGAGGAGGTGGACACATGAGGGGCTATGGGCAGGGAAGGGGGGGCTGGTAGGTAGGCAGGATAAGCAGCAGCAGGGGCACATGCACACCGTTAGACGAGAAACCACAACAGCAGCAACACCTCTGCAGGGACCCACCCTGTCAGCCACACACCCATTCACCCCCACTCACCCCCATGCGAACTCGGAGCCCGCGGAAAGCCACGATCCGCCCGTCGGTCAGCCGGGCGTTGGGCTGCGGGGGAACACGGGCGCGGGAGTGGCTGGAGTGGCTGCAGAACTACTGACAGTCAATAAGGAAACCTGGAGCGAGTGCCCGTCAGCACATAGCAGACGTGAAGGCGAGTATGGTACCACAAGCTTCACAGGAATAACGACTTACCGTAAACGCAGTTCTCCATGCAGCCGTTACAATGTGCCGTACACCTTCTAGACCTCACCCCCCTCCTAGCCACCGCCACCCCGCCTGCCACCCACCTTGCCCCGCACCGCCGGCGGCAGCACCACCTCCGACGGCGCCGCCGGCGCTGCCGTCGTCGGATACAGCGCCGCCAGCTGCTCCCGCCAGGCCATCTGGGTCGCTGCCACCACCAGTAGCTGACCGCGACCGGGAACACTTTGCATGCTGCCGGGCATCAGCGCCCGACTGTCGCTCGTGACGCCGACGCTGTCGCGGTTGGCGCCGAACGAAAGCGCGGATAGGCTGCCGCTGCCGCAGCCGGCGGGGTGAAGACCGCCGCCGCCGCTGGCGGCGGCGGCGGCAGCGGCGCCGCCAGCCGAAGGAGCCGCGCCGGCGGAGGTGCGACCTGAAGGACCTAACCGCGACGGCGCCGTCGGGATCTGCGCCGCTGACTCGTCGTGATGCTGTTGCTGTTGTTGGTGCAGCGGCGGCGGCGGCAGCAGCAACAGCGGCGAGGGAGCGTCGGGAGGGCTGGCGCCGTACACATGCGGGGGGTTGTGCAGTCGGAGCTGGTGCACGGGGATGGAACCGCCGGCGGCGATATCGAACGAGGGGTTCAGCTGCATCAGCGGCAGATGCAGCCCAGTCGCCGCCGACGACACCGACGCACTCGCCGCCGCGAACGCCGGAACAGTCGCCAGATCGCCGGTGAGTGGCGGCCTCGACGATTGCGCTTCCGCGCCTGACGACCGACGCTTGCCCGACGAACCGTTCAGCAACCTCCGTCCCGCCGTCGACACTCGAAGGAAGGGAATGATGAAGCGTGACGGCGCGGCAGCACCGTCGCGGCCGCCGGAGGCGGCGGCGGCCGCGGCAGCGGACGACGTGAACGGGCTTCCGCCCGGCGGCAACGACGGCTCCGCCGCCCCCGACGGCGACGCCGCCGCTGCCGCCGTCGATCCCTCCCGCGGGTCCACCAGCACCACGGCTCCGTCCGGGTGCGCCAGCAGCTCCTCCGGCCAGTCCTGGTGCAGCAGCTCCAGCTGGCAGGCGGTGGCGAAGGCGGCGGCGGAGGCGGGGCAGGCGAAAGCCACGATGAAGGAGTCGCCCTCTGCAGCGAGGCACCCAGGTGTGTGCGGCGCGAAACTCAGCGGCAAGCAAGCAAGGAGTTCGCGGACAGCAAGGACAGCCCCTATTGCCAGCCCTGTTATCACTCCAACACGGCAACAAACAAAAGCCCTCCATCGGTCTGTCCCACTCCCCATGCCCCCCCGGCGCCCCCATGCCTCCCGCCACCCCACCCGTTGCGCTTTCGTATCCGTCGTGCAGCTCCAGCATGCGCCGGATGGCTGCGTGGTGCAGCTGCAGCGCCGCGTCCATAGTGGCCACGGAGAGCGCCTCCCACAGCACTGGAAGGGGCAGGGGGCGGGAGGCGGGAGAGGAGGCAGGAGTGGAGGGAATGGCGGCAGCAGGGCAGGAGGCAGGTGAGGAGGGCAGCGGAAGGGGACAGGAGAGCAGGAGGCATGAGTTAAGGGAGTGGTGCACCAGGTACTACACTGAAAGGAGCTGGACGGAGCAGCGCGCCCAGCCAGTAGAAGGGGTTCTTCTTCCAAACTGTAAGCGCAATCTTCCAGCCTGGCGTGTCCCACGCGCCCCTCCCCCCCTCACCCGTGCTGTTCTGCACATCCGTGATGATGAGGGTGGTGTCCGGCCCCACTCGCGGCGCCCGCACCCGTCCCAGCAGGTCGCGGTGCCGGGTAGCAGGCCTGCCACCGCCCCCTCCGCCCCCACCTCCCGCCCGGCCCCGCCGAGTGGCCCGCACCAGGGCCCATGCGAGCGCCGCGGACAGCAGCACCAGGGAGCAGCCGACCACAATGCCCGCGATGGGGCCCGCACCCAGGCTGTGGTCGTAGCCGGACGAGCCTGCACCGGAGGCGTACCGGGGCGTACAGGAGGGAGGGGGGTCAAAGACCATACCGAACAGGGGGAGGGCGGGGAGGGGGCTGTCACAGTCACGTGATGGGTGATAGGTGGTGCGGATGGAGGGTGCGGAGGGGCTAGGAGGGGGCAGGGAGGAGGTACGGCACCGGGACGTGATGTGTCGGAAATGTATGCCCACCTCTACGAACTGGAGAGACACCCCGAAACCCCAGCCCTGTACTGCCGGTACCCTACCTTGCTGCTGCGAGGAGGGGTCCTGCCACGCGGGGGCGCTGATGGCAGCTTCGTAGTTGGATCGTACGGCAGAGGCGTTGAGTACGGCAGCGGCGAGGGTGAAGTACTGCAGCAACAACCCGCTGACGTCACCCACAGCGGCCACGGAGGCGGCGGCGGCCGTATCGCCTTCGTTACTGCCCAGGACACGCCGGTGATGAGCAGTTGCATGAGAGGCGGGGGGCGGAGGAGCGGCGGCTGTCATCTCCGTCGTCGTCACCTTTGGAAACGACGCCAGTTGCGCCGCTGCGTGGCCGAGCACCCAGCGAAACCAGTTGGGGTTACCCGGGGAGGGCACGTCGGGGGCCGCATTGGGCGCGTGGGTGGCGTGCAGTACGGCGTGAAGGTACGACCGGGCTAGGGTGTACGGCACACCGCGGGCGGTTAGCACCTCCTCCGCGGCTGCTGCGGCCGCCGCTAGCTGCGTTTGCAGGGTGCGGTTGCTGCTGCTGCCGCTGGTGCTGTTCGTGCCTCCTGCTGTCAGCAGCGGCGCCAGGATCCACCAGGGGCCGCGGACGTAGCTGGAGAGCGCGAGGGGGGAGCACAGGTATGGAGGGGGAGATGCAGCATGGTGAAGGTGGGGGCTTATGCATGGGGCGTGAACTACAGCGCGCCAAGGGCGGAAAGTGCAAAGTACTCAGTCCCCAAGGTGTTCGCATGAGGACCCGTGGGTAACGTCGTGGGCGATAACAACAATAAGGCTACTCCCGAACGAGTGGAGCCCTCTTCACATTGCCCAATGGGCCGCCTTGCCATAACCCGTGAGGGCATCCCACTCGCCCTTCACCAACGCCCCCCAGACACCCACCTGTCGCAGTCCGCAGCCGTAGCCACCCTGCTCCGCCGGCCCCGCCCCGGCCCCAACCCGCCCCGCAGCTTGTCCGTTGCTAACTGCCGCACCAACCGATGCGCCAGCATTCGCAACCGGCCCGCGTCACTTGCCGTAGACAGTACGGCAACATCCCCCGAGGCCTGCATGATGCCGCCGTAGTTGATGTCCGTTACGATATCGAAGAAGGCGGAGTAGGGGGCGCGGTTGACGATTGGCCGACCAGTGATGAGTGAGGAGTTCCCGGATGCCGACAGCGACGGCGGCGGCGGGGCCGACTGACCCATGGGTCGTAACGCCTGCAGCCGAGCGACCTCCGCGGACTCCACGCTAGCGATCGCTGCTAGCACGTTGGCTGACGGGTCGTACCCGGACCGCCAGCCTACCGAGATGGACTCCACGTAGACGCTGCTACCATTGCTGCCGCTGCTACCAGTGCTACTGCTGGTGTTAACACCAACGAGAAGGTAATCGTCAAAGTAACTGCCGTACAAGCCGTACAACAGGTCATGATTGGCGCTGTACGAGCAAAGATCCAATGTGCATGGCACCAGGTTCCCCTTGCCGCCGTCAGTGCTGCCGCCGCTAGTGCCTCCTGTCGTACTGTTCGCCGCCGCCGCCGCCGCCACTCGGCTGCTCCCAGGCAGCGGCGCCGCCGCCAGCACCCCTGGACCTTGCAGCGCCGTCGCCGCCACCATTGTCATCAGTGCTGCGTCCCATTCGAACGTTAACAAGCAATCCCCGCTCCTGAACACAGGGCTGACGGCGTAGCAGTCAGCGGGCGCACCTCGCGCCGCCGCAGCCGCCATCTCCGGCGTCGCGTCGGCAGGCGCGTTGTACCAAAGCAACGACCGCAGCACGCTGGCGGCGTAACGCCAACCGCTACCGTTGACCAACGGCAGCGCCGCCGGCGGCGCCACTGACATGTCGTACACGTAACCCTGCGACGCGCCGCCGGTTTGTACGACACTCGCCGCTACCGCCGCTAACAAGTCCCCTACCCGCCCACAATGCGGGTTGCCGGTAACACACAGTCCGTACTTCGGCAGCGTCGCCGCTGGTTCCGTACTGCTATTCCGGCCGCTACCGCCAGCCGCCGTCGCCGCCACCGCCGCTGCATGCGCCGCCAGCAGCGCCGCCAGCCCCTCCCAGTCGTCCGGCGGCGCTGCGGAGGCGACGACACCATCAGCCGCCAGCGCCGCCAGCGCATCCGCTCGGTACCACATGAGGAGGTGCGTGCGCGGGTGCAGCGGCCCAGTGGGGTCATCCGACAGCACGCAGGAGGTCTCCGGCAGGTGCTCGAAATCCTCCGTCACGTCGCGCAGCGTCCGGGGGGCCTCCGCCGACCCATCGGAGGTAATGAGGGCGTAGCCGCCGGCGCCGGCGCCGCCCTCGAGGGAACTGGTGTATTGCCGTACGACGCTGGCGTCGCCGCGCAGGGCTTGCGGCGAGGGCAGCGTGAGGAGACTAAAGTTGTAGCGAGCTAGGGAGGTGGTGAGGGCGGTGTCCTGGGCTGCGCGGAGGTTCCGAAACCACTCCGCGATGAGGCCGTTGGACCAGCCGGGCAGCTGGAATGTGTCTAGGGAGATGAGGGCGGTGGAGGCCGGCGGGGCTGGGGCGGGAGGAGGGAGTCCGGGCTAGGGAAGTGGGGGCATGGGCAGGAAGGAGAGGGCAGCGTGAAGGGTCAACGGTTGATTCATCCACACATTGCAGACATGGCAGTGTGCACAGCCGGTGTTAGCAGGCGAGGATAGTGGTAGGCTACCGGTATGCGGGCCTAGGGAAACAAGACGCATGGCTGCAGCTACATGGAGGTGACTGGGGTTCGCTAAAGCTCTGCAACAGAACACAGCTACGGGGAAAACCCCCAAGCTGAGAGCAGGTGTTGACTGTGCTGCACGATCCAGCTTCTCACCGGCTTGGACTGGAAGTCGCTGAGGCATCGTGGGTCTGAGCTAAGGACGGATGTGACAGCGTCCGGCGAAAGGGTCGCGTTGACGCAGAGAACCCTGTGAGTTACGTTGAACTTTGACACTTTGACGAAGGAGAGCTAAGAGCAGGTCCCAACCCTCTTGCTTGCAGCATGCATGGAAACCAGGGCGACTTACTGTTGCTGCGCCGAGCCGCCAAACAAGCTTTCAAGAACTGCAGTTGCGCACGATTCCTCTTGGATTACGGCTTCAGAGTTCCCCAAGAGCGAAACTGCTTGGGCTACGAGGATAACCCAGAAGAGGAAAGTCGCCTGCGGCGCATATCTACCGGCTGGAAAAAGCCTTTTCACGTTGCTGCTTGTCAATGAGCGGAAGCATTTCTTAGCCATCTACTGACAAGAGCACAAAGTGAAGGCACAGTTGTTAATGCTATCATGCTCCGACTTAGCGTTTAGTGCAAAGCCATCTATTAGGAGGCATAATGGGTATAAGGACGTTGACATTACAGGGGGTATTTGAGCAAAAAAGAGGCCTATCTTGTTTCCGTAGGTGTTGTCCGGCAACCGTTAGAGCGTATTTGACCGGCGCGTAGGCAACACAGATTTTCCTACTAGAGCATTTGGATTATATCCTGTGTCGCAAGTCCCCATGAAAGGTAGAAAGTCATTTGGGTCAGTGCAGTCGTACGGATCATTGCCCTGAGCAGCGAAGATATCCAGGGCCTATCTAGCTACTTCTTAAGGTTCCACCCACAATTACTATCCAGTTATTGAACGACGCGACCCAGATCACGTTTCAATACTGCGAAGGAGCACTACACAGCAATGCAGCAATCACGCATGTGCCAGTCAAAGTATAACCAGAGGAGGAGTTGTTGGGGAGACCCAATGCGTGTGATGAAGAAGGATTGATATGAAGGCCGTTGGGAATGGGTACAAATAAACTCAGTAACGTACTGCCACTGATGACAGCCACTGCACGTTCCGTGTACTCGCAGCGTTAACAAAGGAAACACGGCGAAAAAACCGCCTCTAGTGGCGAGGACGTACATTGTGGTCATCTGACGAATAGCTCCTTCCTGGACAACGGGACTGTTGCATAATTGTTCCCAGGACTCTGAACGCTAAAGGCATTAGGAAAGCATTAATTGAGCAGCAACCGTTCAGCTGGAGAACGTACGTGTGTACCTCACCTTGTCACCCGATAAAGTCTAGAGCTTTAAAAGGCCGAATTGGAGGTGTTGGCACATTTTAAGACGTGTCATGTCGCGTAATTTGGTCTCTGCTGACGAACCGGTGGTCATGGCCACTGCGGAATGCCTTCCTATCGATTTCCTGAGGCTCTTGTTTGCGCGGCTGACCGCACGCGAGCTCTGCGCAGCGGCTTGCACATGTCACCTCTGGCGTCACCTTGCGGTTGAGTTCTGGCGCGCAAAGGTGCACGGTCGCTGGAAACATGGCAGCGGCCGATGGATGGATCTTGTCCGCAATGGCCAGTGGAGGCAGCTCTACCGAGAGCGCCACCTGGTATGTCCATATACTTTCCAACTCCATAATTGTAGATAAATGCTAGCAACTATTGGACCCTGCCCGTCGTCATCTTTTCCCGCTATCCATTCCCAATGCACCACCCCTCACGCCCACACGGCCTCTCACCCGCACTCTCTCTCCTCGGCCCCACCCACACACCCCTTAGCTCGATGTCGCCAGTCGCGCCGCCCTGCGCGATCTGCCCTGGCCGCTGCGGCGCGCGGGGGCGCTCGAGGCGCTGTGTACGGCAGGCGAGGACGCGGTGGATTTGATGCTGGCGGAGGCGACTGTGGTGGTTGGCGGCGGCGGGAGGGAGGCGCTGTGGCTGGGGCGGAAATACTGGGCGGAGAAGGTGGGGAGGGGGGATGGGCGGTCGGTTTTGCGGTGTCGGAGGGTGTCATGGGTAAGAACTTACCTAGATAGGGGAGTGTTACGTCGAGGGCTTTATGAGGCTCAATGGGAGCAGCTGCTGCTTTGCCGGTTGCTCGCAGGCACTGGCGATGCTGCGGCGGCGGCAGGCGGCGGCGACGCTGGCAGCGCTGGCGAGAGACCCACGGGTCGCTGCGGAGCGACCCGAGACCGCCGCACTGGCCATCGTGAGTCCACGTTGGGCTGCCTCTCACCTGCCCTTCTCCTACCTTGGCAAGTCAGTGACTGCAGCTTCGCACCCGACTCTAGCAGCACACAGCCGCACCGGCAGTCCTCTTGTGCCATGGGTTCGTGTCGCCGCCGTCGCCTTACATAGCCCTCCCGCCTCCCCCCCCCCAGGCCCAGGCGCACTACCCCACCTCCGACCTCTGCCACCTCCCGCCCCAGCTGGCGGCCCTGCGGCGGCTGTTGCGGCACCGACTGTGGCAGGCGGCAGCGCAGCCGGGCTCCCTGGAGGTGCGGGCGGGGGGGAGGTGCGGGCCGCTGTGAGGGGTGTGTGTGCTGGAGGGCCGCTGTGAGGGGTGTGAAGGCGCCACTGCTGCCGTCTGCTGCCTGCCCGCCGGCCGCCGGAACTTGTGCACCTGCTCACTCGAGGAGGCTCAATGGTCCGTTGCCGCCCTCCTTGCCCCGTGGCCCCAACACCCTTCTCTTCTCCCGTCCCTTCCTCCCCTCCCCGCCTCCTCCGTTAGTTGCCTTGTCAGTTTCCTTATTCCCCCCCGCCTCCTGTCCCCATACCTCCCCGCAGGCCCTGTACGTTCTTAATCACCTGGTCTTCGGAGCCCCGCCGCCGCCCTCGCCCCTAGCCGCCGCTGCCTCCTCTCCCTCCGCCGCCGCCGCCGCCTGCTGCCCCTCCCTCGCCGACCAGCTGGCCCCCCACCCCGGCTGCGGTCTGGGCCTGCGCGGCTGCGGTTCCGGCCCGGGCGCCTACTACCGCCCCTCCAATTCGCTGCTTCCTGAGCTGCTGCACTGGCGGGGGGAGGGCATCCCCATCAGCCTGGCGCTGGTGCAGCTGGCGTTGGCGGCGCCTGGGGGGGAGGAGGAGCGGGAGGAGGGGGAGGAGGAGTGGTTGGGGGGCGGCAGGCTGGAGATGATTGGGTTGCCGGCGAGGGTGGTGAATAGGTGGGTGAGGGGGTGGGGCGGGTGGGGCAGGTGTAGGTGTATGCGGGGGTGGGGCGGGGACAGGGGTGAGAGGAGGGGGTAAGCAGGCGTGCGGGAAAGGGGGTTTCGGCTTGACAAAGGCCCCGTGCGGTATCCTTGATGGCGCGACGTGCGGCTCTAGGCGACTCATGCGCTGCATACGGCATGCTATGGATTTGCATTGTAGGTTCATTCCGGCGACGGCAGCAGGAGACAACAGCGGCAGCGGCGGCAGCACGAGAAGCAGCGGAGCTACGACGGCTGCTGCTGCGGGAGAACAACAAGAGCGAGAACGACAACAAGAGCGGGAGAGGGAGAGGGAGCGGGAGGTGTTCATCGACGTGTTCGCCGGGGGCACCCTGCTGACCTGGGAGCAGCTGCGGTCCATGATGGCGGAGTACGGCATTCCGCTGCATCGGAGTCATGTACGGCCGTTGGATGCCGTACGGATGTACGAGCGAGTGTTGGCGAATCTGTACGGCATCTACAAAGACACGGACAACCTGCCGTGCATCTGCATGGTTCTGGAGCTGCTGGCGGAGGTGGCGGAGGGGGTGAGGCGGGGGCGGGATGAGGAGTGACCCATGGGTCCGTCCCCGTGTCGGTGGGCCAGTTGGTATGTATGGGGATGATGTTGGTGCTGCAATCCTTTCTTCTTGGCCCCAGATACCTACTCTTGATGCTCGTGGCCTATGTTTACACCTTCATTCCCACTGTGCCATTGCTCCCCCCGCTAACCCTCCTCCACGCGCCCCCCTTACCTCCCATCCGCTCCCCACGCTCCCCCACCCCCCCCACCCCTCCACCTCCCCCTTCTTTCAGCGTCACGAGCTGCTGCACACCCGCCTGCGCGCCAGCAGCCTGACAGAGGATTGGGGCGATGCGGCGCGCTGTCTGCAGCAGCTGGAGGCGGGGGCGGAGGCGGGGGCGGCGGGGTGGGGGGGCGGGGGCACGGGGCGGCGGGTGATGGCGGCAGCACTGGGTCAGGTGGGGGCTTCAGGGGGGCGGGAGGGGGGCGGGAAGCGGGTGTGTTAAAATAACTGGCCGCGAGGAGACGCGATACGGGGTGCAGGGTTGCGAGTTGGTACGGGGGGGTGGTGTGGTGTTGCAGGATGCGGTGTTCGAGCCGCCTCGCTCCGCTGCCACTCCCCTCCCGTCCCTAATCCCTCCCTCTCCCTCCCTCGCTCCCCTCCCCCCCTGCCGCACAATATTACTTCCCCCCTGCCGCAGCTGCGCACGGGGGTGGAGCGGCAGCAGGCCGCCTGGCAGCAGCGGTGCGGGGCGCGCAAGACACGCCCCGCCACCACACCCGGCGGCGGCACCACTGCAGCTGCCGGCACCTCCCATTCCCCCAGCACCCCCACCCCCGCCCCCAGCACCCCCGCCCCCCAGGCCCCCCCGCCCCCGGTGCTGTTCCGAGTGGGCACCATGGTGCAGGTGTGTGTGTGTGGGGGGGGGGGGCGGGTGGGAGGGGGGGGAGCTGGAGGTGGGGGCGGGAGGGGGGGGAGTGGGGGCGTCAATGCGTGTATTCGTATGCCTGTCTGATGAAGATGCAGCCCGACACCTGCATGCATGTCCCTAACTCTTACTGCCTAACTGCGAATGGCTCATTAAGTCGGCTATAGTTGAATTAGACTAGTGATTGTAAAGCTAATACGCATGCGCACAGCCCGATTGCGGCCCATGTTCCTGCCCCACCTCCTCCTGCTCCACTGCGCCATTCCAAGTCTTCATCCTTCCGTGCCTGTCGTGCATGCAGTACATGTCGTACCCGCCCCTCTGCTGACCCCCTGACACGCCCCCGTGTGTGTTAAAATAACTGGCCGCGAGTAGGAACATACTGGGATGTCGGAAGATGAAGTCCCCACAGAACCGCCGCAGGAGCCGAGGAATAGGGTAGCGTATGTACATATAGAAGTCCAATACTGGTGCTGAGAGTAAGTAGGACGTAAGAAGCACTCTCGTAAAGCGACCGGACCGAAGGCCCGTAGTAGTAAGTTGAGAGTATGTAGTAGCTGACAATATCGAGTAAAGTAGGTAGGTAGATAGGCTGGAACTGCTGCTGAACAGGTAGCAAAACAGGGGAGCATGCCGAGACGTCGCAGTGCATGCGCGAGCAAAACAAGACAGGCAAAGCAAGTGCAAGACCACTATGTGCGGATGTTACCGTAGACTGACCTGCAGGCAGGAACGAAAGCATCCGGCAGCCAGCAACCAGTGTCAATAACCGACGGCAAGAAGAGGAACATGCGAGGGCGGGAGAAAAGCAGGAACACACGTGAGCGCCGCAACCTAACTACGCTGAACCTAATTGAACTGCAAGGCGAACAAGGAAACAGACAGATATGGCAAACAGTGCGCATGGGATGCCGTACGACAATGCAGAGATGCGCATGCCAGGGGAAGGAGGACTGGCGGGCTGGCTCCTAGTGAGCTCCCCACCGCACCAGGCCCCGAGTGCCTCCATGCATGCGGGCACCAGGGGACGTGTGCAAAACCCATGGGCACAAGGCAAAGAGTAGGCAGTACGCAAGTGACAGGCACAGACGCTATGTAACCGCGAAGAACCCAGTGAAGTGACGCGACGCCACGGAGGGGCCACCAAGCCGCCCAGCGCTGGCGCGTAGAACCCAGAAGCTACATGGAGAGGGCCGTGCAGTCGGATAACTGCAGTTGCCACTTGGAAGAGGAAGCCGCCCAGAGCGCCTGGAGCTCCGAGGGGACCACTGGTGGAGTGAAGGTGGGGATCAAGCTCCAAAACGCTCCAAAACGCACGCCGCGAACACGGGGTGACTAGCGACGCGAACTTGGCAGCCGAGCTCCGGTCCATGTCGCCCGCGTCTCGAGGATGGTCTTGGATAATGCGAGTGCCAACTAACACGCCGCAACGCACACATACCTTTGCGAAGCAACGACCCAATTTACGTGCTGAAGTTGCAATGTCGAGTAAGGCGAGCTGGAACGTAATGGGCGAGCGGCAAGCTGTGGCGTGGGCGTTTGAAACCCGGCTGGCTGACCAAGCTGAGCTGGCTGACCCGACCGCAATTAAGAAGCCGGGGAGATTGTGCGTGTGTTAAAATAACTGGCCGCGAGTAGGAACATACTGGGATGTCGGAAGATGATGTGTGTGTATGTGTGTATGTGTGTATGTGTGCTGCAGCACCGGCTGTACGGCTACCGGGGTATCATCGTGGACTGGGACCCGGTGTGTGAGGAGGAGGAGGGCTGGATCGCGCGCATGCGGGTGGACGCGCTGCCGGGGGGCGGCAGGCACCAGCCTTTTTACCGAGTGCTGGTCAGCAATGACACTGATGAGGAGCGTGGGGTTGGGGGAGGCGGCGACGGCGGTGGCAGAGCAGCAGGAGGAGGAGGAGGAGGAGGAGGCGGTGAAGGGGGTGGAGGGGGTGCTGAGGAGGTGGAGGAGGAGAGCGAGGGAGGGCGGCCAGAGGGGTGGTTGCGGCGGCGCCGGCCGGTGTGGCGACCCACGGGTCGGTCCTGCGGGCTGCCGGGGCTGCACACCCGCCCTCCGGCAAATGTAAGAGGAGTAGGACTGGTATATACATGCATATGATTATAGGTTCTCTCCAATGCAAATTAAGGGGGATGGGGTTTGGTAGCGGGCAACTCGATCCCGAGCATTGACTTGGTTGTTGCGTTGCGGATTGCCTTCATGTTGTCATTGGTGCGGGAGTCCTTCACGCAGCCCTTCCTGCCCCTGCCTCGCACCCTCCTCCTGCTGCTGCTGCCCTGCCGTCTGCCCTCAGGAGACCTACGTGGCGCAGGTGAACATCCACGTCCTGGTTCCACAGCAGCAACCGCCGCCGGCACAGCAGCCGACACGGGAGGAGCAGCAGCGACAGCAGCAGCAGCAGGAGGGGCAACAGGCGCAGCAGCAGCAGGAGGTGGTGGAGAAGAGTGCGGGCGGGTCGGGGTCACGGGCAGCTGCTGCGGTGGCGGCAGCACCTGCAGGACCGCATCCCGACATCCCACCGTCACCACCGCTGGAGGGCGGAGGCAGCGCAGGCGGAAGGGCTGCAGCTGCTGCTGCTGCTGCTATTCCTGCTGCAGCTGCGGAGGGGGCTGCAACGGCAGCAGCTGCTGCTCACATGTTGCCGTACGACGACGACGGTGATGATGCGTACGAACTTCCGCCGGGAGTACCCACTATTGCCGTACCGCACAACTTCCAGGTGGGCTGGTGGGACGTCAGGTTGGATTGCCGTGCTGTGCTGTGCGGTGTTGACACGTGTCTTGCTGCCTTGGGTGGCTGTGCTGGTTGCTGGTTGCTTGACGGTTGTACGACACAACCGTGCCACTTCTACCCCTCCACCTGCCTCCTCCACCTACCCCCCGCTGCTTGCAGATCCGCCACCCCGAGTTGGGTCAGTACTTCGAGGGGCGGCGGGCGGGGCGGCAGCTGCGCTACACACCCAATGCAGCGTTGAGGTACCGCTTCCCTGAGGACTGGCCGGGAGGGGGGCAGGGGGCAGGGCAGGGGCAGGGGGAGGGGGAGGCGGAGGGTCGTGAGGATTACGAGCACTGGTGGGACCCGGGGTGGGATGGGGAGGTGGCCTGGTGCCGCGTGTAGGGGGAGGCGGGGGGAGGAGCGGGGAGGGGAGCGGGGAGGAGAGCAGATAGGAGGGCGGATAGGAGGGCGGGGGCTGTACGGTAGAGCAGTATCATGGAAGGAGAGGGGGTTTAGTCTCTAGTTCGCATGTGCGTTGGTGCGCTGTTGTTACGTTTGTCCTTCGTGCGTCGTAGCCCGGAGGTTGCTGTTGGTGGTGGTGCGGCAGGTTGTTGCTGCTGGGGTTGTTGGCTGTGTACTGTACGACATCGGGGAGAAGGCGATTGGAAGGGAGGTGGGAAGGAGAAGGACGGTAGGGGAAGATGTATGACAAACATGCACATTAGGTACCGTACATGTACGCTAGTACCGGGTTGGACGCGCTGGGGTGTACGGTGCATGAGTGTCACTGTACACCGCCTGGAGCATCATTTGTACAATAACGACGTCTCCACACACCGCATGTATGGCCAAGGAGGGAAAAGTCGTGCAGCGTGCTGTGTTTGTACCAGTCTAGCCCTGTTGTTGCCATCCAGCGCGGTGGGGGTGCAACCCAGACGGCCAGTTGGCGTGTTGTAACCGTTGTAACCACTGTCACGGTTGTCACTGTCAACACAGCAGTACGGCACCCACACATTAGAACCCGTACACTAGAACGCAAGCACGGGAGCAGCAAGGATCGCATGCTTGCTGGGGTAAGGACAGGCACTTTGGAAGCTTATGATGGGTGAATGCTTTGGCTGTAACCCGATCTCCTGGTATACCATATACGACCAAGAGTCCCTTTTGCCGTACAGCACATGCAATGTACAATCATGTACGGTATAGCCGTTGCAATCGACAACAGACACAGGAAACCACCGAGGGAACCTGAATATGTGTTCCGCGCAGCCACGACGTGCCCCGACTGCTAGTGACCTGGTGCTGCGCTCGCTTAATTAAGTGACCCCAGCCACAGGCCCTCCCAGCAGCGGGTTACAGCAGCCACTGTCGGACACCATACTTATCTCCAACCCAAGGTTATCGTGATTACAAATTTCTTATACCAGCGAAGTAATATGCGTGCAGTCATTCAGCGAGTTTCATCTGCATCCGTCTCCGTTGACGGAGAGGTTGTCAGCAGCATCGGCCCGGGGTTACTATGCCTAATTGGCATCAAAGAAAGTGATACGGTGAAAGATTTAGAATTTATGTAAGTCGGGGTCTGATGGGACCAGGGGACATGAAGTGTCTGGCGTATGCTTTCATGCGTCCGGTAACTACATTCAAATCTCCTCCTCGCAGCTGCAAGAAAATACTGACAGTTCGAGCTTGGCCGCATCCTGAGACGGCGAAGGCATGGGATATCAACGTCACAACTGCCGGACACGAAATCCTGCTTGTTTCCCAATTCACGTTGTACGCTCGCCTCAAGAAACCCAAGCCCGATTACTCAAAGGCGATGGGGCCGCAGCCGGTAGGTCTGGTACGGCAAACTGATTCAGAAACAGGTTTCGGGGCCCTGACTAAGGAGCGCTATTCCCAGGGTCAGCTGTGCAGCTTTTGCTTTCCTCCCTGCACCTCTATGCCCAGCACACAACATGTGCTTCATTAAGTCATGGTTGAACTTGCAGTAGTGCAATCCACACATCCTCTTACATCCTTACGTCACATGCCATCCATTGACTTGTCAAACATTGGCCCACCCCGACCCCACCGGCCTTCAGGCTCGAGAGCTCTACTCCCAGCTGGTGGAGGAGGTGCGGCGGCAGTACGTGGCGGAGCGAGTCAAGGACGGCGTGTTCGGCGCCAAGATGGATGTGGCGCTGGTTAACGATGGGCCCGTGACCTATGTGCTAGACAGCGCCGACCCAGACGCCTGAGAGCACCGTCAGTAGGGAAACCTGAAGGACAGTGTGAAGCGTCCAGCAAAGTCCTTTTGGTCAACCGATGGCGGCAATGTTTGGATGGATGGAGGGCACGAGGTGCTGCTTAGGCTGGCTGCGCCTTGGAAGCTGCTGTCTGGTGTTAGCTGGCCGTCAGGCTTCTGCGAGCGAGTGGGTAGCGGCGGCGGCGTGGGATGTATATAGCTCATGGGGGCGCGAGGAGCAGGTAGCGGGTAGGGACGTGGCCTTGTGGAAAGCGGCCTTGTGAGGAGCCGCAAGCAGCCAGTGCATGTTGTGGAAGGGAAGGGAGAGACATGGTGACTTGGATAACAAAATCATGCGCCTCAAAATTAGGGCGACGAGTGATCTTGATTACGAGCCGTTGTCCAAATACGGACGCTTAAATTTTTGAAATACGACGCGCGCAGGGCCTGTACTGCTGCCTGCTGCTGTGCCTGCTGTACGTCAGTTTGACGCACACGTGGCCCACCACCCCGGGGTTCATTAGGACGCATGTGTTACCGCCTAGCTACCTAGCAATGCCATCCAATGCGCATTCAATACACTACTTCACTAAAACGCACGATACGAATCGTCCTCGCTCAAACCACGACAATCCACGACCTCCTGCCATGTCTCTCTCTCGTATGTGTTGTCTTGCCATGTCCCCCCACCCCTGCACGGCTGCACGAATCGCCCACGTCCGCCACTCCCATGACTCCCCCCACCCCCGCATGCGTACGTCGCTTATGTGAGCATGCAAGCCCGTTGCACCGCAAGTAACTACTATTCCGACAACACTTCAGTCTTGCGGCAAGGATCTAACTGCGGTATACACACACGCTGTGAAGGGAGAGAAAGGAAGCGGCAACGACCCTGTCTACACCCAAGGGGTGATCATCACAGTCAACTCTTCCGGTAGGCTCGTTCAACAATGCTAACCCGCCCCACCGAGCGCCTGAGGTGGCCTGGACAGATACCCTCCATTCCTTTGCTATTGCAACCATACCGTCCTGCTGCCCGAGGCGATTGAGTTTCTCCCATTCGGCCGACACCTGTATGTCAGATGATGGTTGGGCAGTTCGCACACAATTGAAGCAGCCCCTCGCAACCTCAATTCAGGCGACTCAACACGCGATGATTTCCATTGAGGATATTGCTGTATCGCTAACAAAGCGACGCCATCCCGAGACTCATCGCCGAATGCCGAATTCCGGATGCGTGTAGGCTTGGATGGAGGCCTCTTCGCTAAATACTGCTCGCTCAATTCGGCTGTGCGGTGAACCCTTGGCCTCCAACCATGTTTTCATTTGCCTCACTGCGCCAACAGGGCCCTCCATCTCTCCATGCACGGTGCCATGCGCAGTGTTCTCGCACCAGCCTCGCAGTCCTAGCTTCTGCGCCTCTTGCTGCGTATACTTGCGAAAGAATACTTTCTGTACTTTTCCAAAGACTTCAAACTTAACAGCGACGAGTGGTTGAGGCGCCATCAGTTATAAGCCACCTACAAAAACCGTATTAATTTATTTATTCCGAAGTACAGTGTAATGTACTAGAGCTACTGCTATCCGGCATTAGCCGATGTACGTTCACACGTATGTATGAGTAACGCTGTACGACCCACGGGGCTCTTTCAGACATTGCGAGGTCTGATGAGCCTGCCTGGACGCCTGTTAAGGCCCTCTCTCACTGTACTACCAGCAACACAGCTCCCCCCCTCACAGCCTCCTCACCCCCCCCTCACAGCCTGCCCGCCTGCATGTCTGCCAGCACCCTCCCCACCGCCAGCTGAGCGCCCAGCATCACCAGCGGCACTCCGTTACCCGGGCGGCAGGAGGCACCCACGTGGTACAGCCCGCGGACCTGAGGGGGGGAGGGGAGGGGATTTGTAGGGAATTACGGGTACATAGTCGGCATTTGGCTGGATTATATGATCGCGTACAGCCATACTTGTTGGGTTAGTAGCAGCAATCAAAACACAAACCGTATTAGGGCTCCATAGAAGGCAGGGGAGGGCAGGGGCATTAAGGAGGAAGAGCAGGGCAGCAGGCGTTTCGGGGTGGGTTCGGCTATAGGCAAGGCGTAAGGAGATGTGGTCAGGTACAGGGTTGCGGGTGGAAGTCGCCAGGGTGCGGCCAGTGTGCCCGCGCCCCCAAGAGGCTTTCACCAGGTGCCGCCCGGCAGCCCCGGCAGCCCCTGCTGCCCCTGCTGCCCCTGCTGCCCCTCCCCCTCCCCTCCCTTCTCCCCTCCACCTCCCCTCTCCCCCCGCACACGCACACACGCACCTTGTCATCCCCCACGTCGGGCCGCAGGATGGACAGCTGCGACAGCCCGTGCGACAGACCGAAGGCGGCTCCGTGGGCCAGCGAGTACCTGAGCAGGGGGGGCAGGGGGCGGGGTGTTGAGGGAGCGAGTAATACAGGGGCAGCGGGCGGGGCTAGCTTCAACAGCAAGCCAGGAAGGCAAGAGGAGATACGGTACCCGTGCGTTTAGCTGTGGTACCAGATGATGGCAGACAGTGGCAGAGAACCGCCCATTTCACCACACTACCCCGCCCCGCCCTTCTCCACATACCCCACCCACCTACCGCCATCACCCCCCCTCCCCGCACCTCTCCGCCCACTGGCTCGGCTCGATCACCACCTCCTCCGCAATGCACCCGCGCAGCCCCGCCGCCCCGCCCGGCCCCGCCACCCCCGCCTCCTCCAGTGCCCGGAACACCGCCTCGCGACCCGCGGCAACCAGCCCCGAGTAGTCCACCTCCCCGCCCCCCGCGGCAGCAGCAGATGCAGCAGCACTGCCGGCAGTGAGGGCTGCTAGCAGCGGGGAGGCAGTCCTGCGGCGCTCCGCCTCCTGTGCCCGCAGGATCTGGAGGTGGGGATCAGGTGGGGGAGGTGAGGAGAGGTGTGCGGGTTGGCTGGCCGGACTGGTGGGCGGCTGGAGGTGGTGGCGGTCCTCACCCAGCCCATGGCACCACCACTAGCTGCTTCATTCAGGACAATCAGGAAGCCAACCCGAAGTCACACGGTGCATGGGGCAGCCGCACGTGCAGCCGCTCACACCCCGCTCTCCTCTCCCACTTCCACGCTCTACCCTCCTACGCTACAAACACATACTTCCCTCATCAACCACCCTCCTCCGCCCCTTCCCTCCCCCTCATCCACCACTCTCCCCCTTCCCCCCCCTCCTGCCCACCTCCTGCATGTTTGCCACGGGCAGCAGCACCATCAGCGAGTCGCAGCCAGGCGGGGCGGCGGTGGGGTCGGTGCGGGCGGGGCAGTGCAGGTAGAAGTTGGGGCAGCGGGGCAGCGAGTCGGGGCACGTGGCGCGCTGCCAGGAGCCGCGGTAGTCAGCTGGGAGGGGAGGGGGCAGGAAGGGGAGAAACAGGTTAGTGAAAAGTGAAGCAACTGGAGTCCTAATTCGCATAGGGGAGGGGGACGCTGGTGAGGGCTGAAGTGGCAGCTCGAGGAAGCTGTCAACCTGTCGTGCATGGCTGGTTGCGTGAGGTGTAGGAGGAGGGACAGGGAGGGGGCTGCAAAGAGGAGCCAGCGCTGCTGTGCCACCCAACAGTAAGGCCGTGGCTGCCACCTCTCCAGCTAACGACCTTGCACAACCTGACCCTTCCCCGCTCGCTTCACACCTCCGCGCCCAACTCTCACCCACCCACCCACCCCAACCACCCACCCGACAGGAACACGTTGTGGTGCGCCAGCTTCTCCAGCCGCCGCCCCTCCACACTCCACAGGTAGGCGATCACACCCGCGCTGTACTCCCCGCCGGCCAGCAGCCGCTGCGAGCGGGCCGACCCGTGGGTCTCCGCGGCGCCCCGCAGCAGCCCGTACGACAGCGGGACGTCCCTGCGAGCCGGGGGGGGGGGCAAACAGCGCGTGTGCAGTAGCGGGGTGGGAACAGCAGCAGCAGCAGCAGCAGCAGCAGCAGCACCATTTCATATAATTAAGTCAGACTGTGGTAATGCTATCCAACCTCGCTACCGCTACGGAAGCTTTGGAGGCCGTATCTGCGGCGAGCTAGTGCTGGTGGCTCTGCAACTGCGGGAGCTCCTCCTGTTCGCCCACTGCTGTACGATGCTGTAAGATGCTGGAAGCTACCATGCGAAACACTCCACACTACTCCGCCACACGCACACGCGCACACACCTGTTTGACAGCACCACCTCCGCATCGACCTCCTCCCCGCTGGCCAGTGTCACCCCCGCCACCGCCGCCTCAGCGGAGGAGGGGGAGGAGGCAGCGGAGGAGCCAGGTGGTGCTGATGTGCGAATTGCGGTCACCCGCGCCCCACAGCGCACCCGCACCCCCAGACCCACCGCCACCCGGTGCAGCGCGTCACGAACCTGGGGAGGGAGGGGGGAGGGTGGGTGGGGGGGGGAGGTAAGCTGTTGTAAGGAACTGCAGGATTGTCTTGGGCCTCCCAAGACGTGGTCGATGCTGTTGCCTTCCAAGCTTTCCTCTTCCCTCCAGCACAAACCCCCACCCTAACCCCTGTGTCCCCCCCCTCCCCCCTCACCTGCCCGAAGCCCCCCAGCGGGTACCACACCCCCTCACTCAGCTCCGCCCCCGCCAGCAGCGAGTACACCCCCGGGGCGCTGTAGGGGCTGAGGCCCACGTAGAGGTCCTGCAGGGGTGGGGGCGGGGGTTTGTGGGGGGGGGAGGAAGGAGGGGAAGAGAAGAAGAAAGCCAGGCTGTTGACCTTGCTAGCAACGCGTGGAGGGTTGGGGGAGTGGGGCAGCAAGCGGGATGGAGGGTGATAGCGCTGCGGCCAAGGAACGGCCAGCATCTTGTCAAGCTTCATGCCGGTAACAAGGCGCTTGCACTGCGCTGTACTGTCGACTGACTGTAACTGACTTAATGAGCCATTCGCAGTTTGTTGGTTACCCAGCTTACTCTACAGGAACATGTACAGATAAGGCGATCACCCCCCCCCCTTCCATGCCCCCCCCACTCCTGTCATCACCCCCTCATCACTCCAGCTCCTCTGCCGCAACGCAGCCTCCTCCTCTCCTCTCCCCTCCCCTGCCCCACCTGGAACGTGAAGAGGGCCCTCAGGCGTGGATCCCGGAAGCGGGCGCACATCCTGAAAGGGGGGTGAGGGGGGGGGTACAACTTACGCAGGGGCAGCAGGGGCGGCGGGGCGGCAGCGGTCGGTGGGATGGCACATGGCAGTAACACCGGGGCAGTAGCAGCAGCGGCAGCATCAAAGGCAGCAAGGAGAAGGGCACCTTCACACGCCCGTTGCTCCAGCTGTCGCTCCCCGTTGCCTCCCCGCTCTCACAACCCTTGTCCTCTCCTCCATCCGCCATGTGAGTCTTGCCACAGCAGGGTTAGTGATGTTCCTACTCGTCATCCCCCCTCCCTCCCGCCCCCCCCCCCCCCACCTGTCATGGTGGCTCCCCAGCAGCTCCCCCGGACCCCCCGCAGCCAGCAGCAGCGCACGCAGGTCGGTATCCTGGGGGGGCAGGCGGGGGAATGGGGAGTGGAGGAGGGATGGAGTGGAGGAGGGATGGAGTGGAGGAGGGAGGGGAGAGGTTGGGGAGGGAGGTGGAGGAAGATAGGCTTCCATCTCCTGCCCTCCAGTATTTATTATATAATTTCCCTCCCCCTTCACCTGCAGCACAGTCCCCAGCAGCTCCCCCGGCCCCCGCAGGTCCCGAGCCATGAAGCCCTCCAGCCCCAGCTGCAGGGCGGCGCGGGAGGCGGCCAGCCAGGACAGGTAGGCGGCACCTGGAGGGGAGTGGGGGGAGGCGGGGGGAGGCAGGCGGGGGGAGGCGGGGGGAGGCGGGGAGTGAGCATGAGTGAATGCGTTGGACGTGTCCAGCCGTGCTGCAGCACCAAAGGCTGGCTTACAGTCCGAATGGCATGGACAGTGGGGGCCGATACCCTTGCCTATTACCCGGTGGACGACTTCAAAACCTAGTACAGGTGTGAGCTCCCCTTGTATTTTGAAGCAATGTGTTCGTGTGTTCAGGAAACTGGCCGCGAGTCAGAACGTGTGCATGTGTGTTTTTGCCAACCTCCCCCCCCCCGCCGCCCCCTCACCCGCCCCCCGCTCCACCCCTTCCAGCTGCTCCACCATGCGCTGCACGTCGTACAGCAGGTCCAGTGAGCCGGCACCCTGGGGGGGCGGGAGGGGGGGTTGGGGGGGTGGGGGAGGGAGGTATGAGAGTTTGAAACCAGGGGAAGGGTGGGGAAGGGGAGGACACGGTGCAGGGGAGGTCAGGGGGGAACGGAGGGAGCGGGAAGATGGAGGGAGGAGGAGGAGCTAGGCGGCTGCAGAGGGAGGGGCCGCTCCGTCAAGGGAGGCTTTGCGGAGAGACGCAGCTCAGCTCCTCCTTCCTTGAAAACCGCTACCCCAGCAGCGCCCCGACCAGCCATCTAGACAATTCTTCCGGCGCATTACTGGCCCGGCAGGCCCGCCCGCCCACCCGGTGACTAGCTTCCTTTCTCTTCCTTCGCGCGCCCCTTTGCACCTCTCTTTCCTCCCCCTCCTCCCCCCCTCCTCTTCCCCCCCCACCGCCCAGGCCCCACCTGAAAGAACACCCGGTATGCCGCCGGGGCCACCCGCACCACCGGGACCTGGGGGGGGGACAAGGGAGGGAGGGAGGGAGGGAGGGAGGTGGGGACGGAGATGAGGGAGGGAGGTGGGGGCAAGGGGGGTCGGCGGAGGGAGGGTGGCGAGGTTACCGTATGAGGGCCCAGCTGCGACGGCATGCACGTGTGGAGCACCACCCGTTTGGACACCGGCGGTGTAGGAAAGGAGGCCTCCCAGCTACGTCCTCGGAGACCAGCCTCCTCACCCCACCTCTCACCGCCCCTGTCCCCACCTCACCTTCTGCGACATGCTGGTCCCCGCATCCTTGTCAATGCGGCCCCCCCGCGCCCCTGGCCCCCTCCCATTCACTCCCCCCCCCACCTGCTGCGACATGTTGGTTCCCAGCGCCTCGAACGTGGCCCGGTACAGCTCCGGCAGCAGCAGCAGGGAGGGACCCGGGTCGAAGCGGTAGCGGCCCCGCTGCAGACCCTGGCAGCGACCACCCACCTGGGAGTTAGCCTGGGAGGGGGGAGGGGGGGGTTGGGGTGGAGGGGTGGAGGGGTGGAGGAGGAGGTTTGGGCGTAACGTGCACGAGGTTAGCATGAGGTGCGCGAAGTTCATCTAGGTTAGCAAGGGCACTACGCAGTATGGAGGAGGTCATCGTTCCTGTTCAAGGCTTTGGCTACTGGGAACGTGGGTCTCTTCTTCCCTCCCCCTCCTTGCCCCACCCTCACCTCCAGCCCCCCGCCCCTCCCCCTACCTCCAGCCCCCCTCCCCTCCCTCACCTCCAGTAGTGTGACCTCGAATCCCTCCCGTGCCAGTCGCCCCGCCGCCACCAGCCCCCCCACTCCGCCTCCCACCACCACTGCTCGCCGCTTGCCGCCGCCCCCGCCGCCTGCCCGCATGCCCTTGGTGCTTCTGCTGCTACTGATGCTGCTACGAGTGCCGCTGCTGCTAGGGGTGCTCTTGGTGTTGCTGCTGCTGCTACTGCCCGACGTGACAGCAACATCAGCGGTGGCGCGGAGTACTGGGTCGCTGCTGTCCCCACCACCATCCGTGCTGCTGCCACCGCCACTGCTGCTGCCGGTTGCCGGGCCAGTGGTGGTGGTGGGAGCGGTCAGCGGGTTACTCAGACGGCCGCCGCCACCGCCAACGCTGCTGCTGGGAGCGCCTGGAGCTGGACCGGGTGGCAGGGGTGCAGTGGCGGTCGTGGCAGCAGGGGGGGCGGAAGCCCCACCCTTACCGTTGCTCCCACTGCTGCCATTCACTCTGTTCCCGCTGCTGCTGTCGCTGCTCCGGTTTGAAGGAAAGGCTCCAGCATCGGCTTCTTCGGTTCCTCGTGACTCAGTCACCCCTGCCACCCCCGCCCTCACCTCCACCCCCACCTCATCACCCCCCTGCTCCAACCCCACCTCCCTCACCCCCTCCTCCTCCACCCCGGCCGCATACAGCGCCGCCGCCAGAGCGTAGTCGGACATGGAGCCCGAGGGACGACCCAGCGGGGAGGAGGAGGAGGGGGAGGAGGAGGGGGAGGGGGAATAGGGGGAGGAGGAGGAGGGAGAGGAGGAGGAGGGAGAGGAGGAGGAGGGAGAGGAGGCGGGGGATACAGAGGAGGGCGTAACGGGGGGAGGGGAGGAGGGCCCCGGGGAATAGGAGACTGGCTTGGAGCCCTTACCGCTGCCGCTACCGCTAGCCTTGGCGCTGCTTGCGAACGCCGTGGGAGCCGCCTCCGGTGGCCCTGACGGTGCAGCAGCAGCAGCAGGAGTAGGTTTGGGGGCAGCAGCAGGCTCGCTGCTGCCCCTGCTGCCGCTGCTGCTGTCGTCTTGCCTGGCCCGAGTCATCCAGGCCTCGCGGGCTGGGCCGCTAGTTCCTTCATGGTTGCCGCTGCTGCTGCTGCTGCCGGGCCTGCTGCGGGTGCTGGCGCCTGGCTGGGATAAGGCGATCCCGGGGGCATTGGAGTCATTAGAGCCGGGTGGGGTGGCGGTGGCGGTTGTATCGGCAGCGGTGTTGGGCCCAAGGAAGGAGGGCGAGGACGGAGGTGGCGGGCGAGGTATTGGTAAGGCACTCGGAGCAGCAGGAGCAACGGTGCTGCCGCTGCTCCCGCCGCCGCTGCTGCCGGTCGAGGCGCCTGCTGCTGTTGCTGTTGTAGAGGCGCCGGCAGAGGCCGGGGTACCTGCAGAGGTGGGCGCAGAGGCCTGGGTACCTGCAGAGGTGGGCGCAGAAGCACCACCCACTGAGGCTGCTGCTGCTGCTGCGCGTGTCATGGCCTCCAGCTCCGCCCGCAGCCGCACCAGCAGGGCAGCAGTGTCCTCCGTGCCAGCATCCCGCCTGCTGCTGGTGCGACGGTTGCTGCCACTGCCACTGTTGTTGCTAATGTTGTTGCTAATGCCGCTAGTGCCGTTCCTGCCGACGTAACTGTTGCCACTGCCGTTGGTGCTGCTGCTGTTGCTGGTGCGGGCAGTGTTGCTGGGAGCGGCACCGCCCTCGGCGCCGGTGATGCCACCACCCGTGGTACTACCAGTGCTGCCGCTCCCCTCTCCGGTAGCCCGCTTCCTGCCCTCAGAGCCGCTGGCGCTTCCCTCCGTACTGCTGGCGCTGCTGATGCTGCTGCTGTTGCTGGCAGTGCTGTTGTTGCTGCTGCTGTTGCTAGGCTGGCGGCTGCGTGGGGAAGCTGATGGCTCAGCAGGAGCAGTGGGTGCAGCAGCATTGGAGCCGTTAGTGGCATTCTGGGTGGGTGCTGTCTTGTTGGGGCTCTGGGGCTTCTTAGCATGGGTGGTGCTTCGATTGCTGGCCTGCAGTAGTGATGTAATCGGTGCAATTTGAGGAAAGTTGGACGAAAACTGTTGGGAATTTTCACAGTTTGCCATTCTTAACGGCTGCAAATTTGACGGCTGGCTCCCGTTTCCTAGGGACTGCGACATGGCCATGCATTGACTACAGAAATGCTGGTTAGACAGCTGTCAGGGCTACCATAAACGACTACCATCGTTGGTACCCACCAAAGAGTTATATGCGCTGTTTACGGAGTCCCAAGGGCTCGGCAGCGGTGCATGTCCTGAAGCAACATCCAGTTCGGCAGACCCCACTTCAGCTAGCACAACACTGGTATCAATAGTCGCCTCCTGACGTTTGTACTCCGAAAATGGTGCAAGCCAAGGATCGGGAATAGTTGTGCTTGCAGCAACCGTTCCACCACTAGCGCCCGGGATCACGAACGCCGCTCTTCCGCGCCAGCGAGCAAAGCCAGGCCTCACGTGTTTGCGCCAATTACATGCTTTGGGGAAAATCGAGCGCGCGGACAACGCCGTAGGGACAGGCCGCTGCAGCTTGGCGACAGGGATAGCTGAAGCTCCTAGTATCATCTAAAGGGCGCTTTAGAAATGAAAGAGTAATACCAGTTTTTCTATGCTCAATGCGTACTTCCACAGGGCTTAGCCACTGACGGTTCGTCTGCAAGCATAGCGGATTGAACCTATCTTCTTCAAGAAAGAAAAATCCATTAGCCGGATGGCATGCATAATGCTAATATGCCGCTAGGAAGTAGCAATAAGCAACCGGACTCCTAGTCTTCGCGATGTAGTACGAAGTACGGACGACAGGTTGGGGCGGGATAGAGGGGAAAGTGATGCGTTTCCTGGTATATAGCACTGGTCCATATACCATATATAGAACCCAGGGGCCTTTAAAAGGTAGTTAGGCGGGCTTGTGGTTGCACCTGGGCGGGTTGGTCCTTGGGTCTCTTAACCGTAGGTTCTAGGCAAAGACCTTCCTAGCCCAAGGAACGTCGCAAGCATGTTCAGCAGACGCACGTCGGCGTTGGCCGTAGCCGGAGTGGCTGGCCTAACGTTGGGTGCAGCCGCGATGTATGTCGCGAGGCCGAAGCTGTTGCCTGCCGCGCGGCTCTACTGCAAGTCGCTGTCTAGCTGGATCTTTAGCAAGAGGGCTCGTCCGATTATGCGTCCTCCGGCTGCCCTGGGTGAGATGTTGGGATTGAACCCTGGAAGTTAGGAAGTGCACTAGGCGCACATTGCCGCTCTGGAGTTGCCCCTAAGCATAATCGGTATGGATTATGGTGATTATCTTCTCGTCGTGCTTCGACTCGCTGCCGAAGCAGTTGCCTTGTAGTTTGCCATGCTACTCAAACATCTCCAGCATTTCTGACTCCTTCCTGTCATTATTGTATAGAAAGGTGATCAAGAGGCAAAGCTTGAGTTGAAAGAGTGGTCGAGGGGCTTAACCAACACCGTGCACTCTCTCCCATGTCCTCCATGTCCTTGCGATGGCCTCAGGTGCTCCTCAGACCGGCCTGTCCGTCGACCCCAGCCGCTACCCTACGGTAAGCACCCGCTCTAGCTAGCCAGCTTCACTGGTGCTCAGATTGAAATCGCTTCAGCAGTACCCTTACGTTTACCTTCTCCCATTGCCGCTGTCGAGGGATGTCGAGTGCCGTTCTCGACCCCAGCCCCATCCGCAACCCGTCTCTCCCTCTCCTCCCTTCCTCGTCCTCCCTCTCCTCCCTCCTCCCTCTCCCTCTCCTCCCTCTCCTCCCCAAGGTCCGGCGCGGCGAGGTGGTTGAGACGCTGCACGGGGTGCGGGTGGCCGACCCCTACCGCTGGCTGGAGGAGCCGGATGCGGAGGAGACGCGAGCGTGTGGGTTTGGGTGGGGAGGTGGACCTGGGGGAGGGGGGGACTTTGGGAGAGGGGAGGGAGGACGCTGTTCATTGGCGATGAAGGAGCGGAAAGCGAAGCACCCCAGGGTGCTTATGCCACTCCCTTGCCAGGCAATGACCGTGTTGATCTCCCCTCCCCTCCCCCTTCTGCAGTCGTGGACTCCCAGAACGCGCTCACGTCGGAGGTGCTGCGCCAGTGCGACACGCGGGAGCAGTTCAAGTGAGGGGGGAGGGAAGGTTGTGTGGGAGGGAGGATTAGGTTGGATATTGGAGGTACCTTCACCAGTGCTGAGCAACTGGCGCGTAACAGTGTGGGAGGGGTGGGGGCTGGCACGGAGAGGTTGGGCTTGAAGCGGATGAGGGTTGCTAGTTGCCTACATCTCCCCTCCCTCCCTCCCCACCTCCTCCCCCCCCCTGTCAGGCAATTGTTCACGGCGCTGTACGACTACCCAAAGTTCGGAGTGCCCTTCAAGGCGGGATGTGAGTGGGGGGTCCGGGTGTGAGTGGGGGGTCCGGGGGGAGCTGGGTGCCGGAAGAAGCGAGGAGGGGAAATTATATAAGAAATGCAAACAACTAAGTCCCAATCCCATATCCCGAGGGAGGGGGCTGGGGTGGGGACCCTTGGGCTGCAGGAAGCCTTTTGTCGCAGGAAGCTCCCCATGCGGGCCTGTCTACTGGTTGGAGGAGGATACCGTACTTGCGGGTTACTGACTCAACACCTGACCTAACATGCCCCCTCCCCCCTCTCTCCCCCCCCCCTCCCCTCCACTCCTACCCCCATTGTTTTGCCCTAACTTGTGGTCTCCTATGGTTTGATATGGTCTTTGACCCCCCTACCCTCCCCTCCCCCCCTCTTTCCCCCCCCCCTCCACCCCCTCCCCCCTCTCTCCCCCCCCTCCCCCCTCTCCCTCCCCCCCAGCCCGCTACTACTACTACCACAACAGCGGCCTGCAGCAGCAGTACGTCATATACAGCACCTCCTCCCCCGACTCGCCCAAGCCGCCCCAGCTCTTCTTCGACCCCAACGCCCTGTCGGCGGACGGCACCACCGCGCTCAGCAACATGAGCTGGAGCGAGGACGGCGGTCTGGCCGCCTACAGCCTGAGCAGCGGCGGCAGCGACTGGAACTGCATCCAGGTGTGGGAGCGGGGGGAGGGGGGATGAGGGGGTGATGACATGGGGGAGGACTTGCAAGGCGGGCAGGACCCGACGGAGGACCCATGGGTCGCGACACCAACACCCCTCGTCCCCAGGTCCTCCGAGTGGACCAGACCGGCGCCCAGCCGCCCGCCCCGCTGGATGACAAGCTGGAGCTGGTCAAGTTCAGCTGCATGGAGTGGACCCACGACAACAGGGGCTTCTTCTACAACAGGTGGGGGGGGAAGGTGACCCGTGGGTCACATGGGTGGACAGGTGGATGGGGGCATGTCCGGCAACAGCTGACCCCCGGTTTCTGCCATCCAGACGAAAGGGGCACGGATGGCTCTCAGTGTCTCCCCACGACTGCCGCCTTTCTCGCGCAAGTAGCACCCACCCCCATCCTCGCACTCCCTCCCCTCTCCTCCCCCTTCAAAGGTACCCCGACCCCGCCTCCCGCCCCTCCTCGCTGGGCACTGAGACCGACATCTCCACCCACCAGCAGCTCTGCTACCACGTAGTGGGCACCCCGCAGTCCTCCGACCCGGTCATCTGGGCCATGCCCGACCACCCCACCTGGAACAGCGGGGCGGGGGTGACGGAGGACGGAAGGTGAGGGTGGGGGTGGGGGTGGGGGTGTTTGGGGTTAGGGTTGGGTTTGGGGCGGGGTAGAGCAGGGAGGCGAGCAGAGAGGCGTGTATGGGGAGAGCAGGGAGGAAGGAGGGGCCCGGGAAGCCTGATAACACCTTCACATCCCCCTCCACCCCCCCTCCTCCCCTGCCCCCCTCCACCCCTCCACCCCCAGGTACCTGCTGCTGTATGTGACGGAGGGCTGCCAGCCCGCCAACCGCCTCTACGTGGCCGACATGGCCGCACTGGGCAGGCGGGAGGACGGAGGGGTGGACTGGGGGACCTACGACTTCTTCAAGGGTGGGGTGGGAGGGGGGCTGCAGGGGGGGGATTGGGGAGAGGGTGGAGGCCGCAGTGGTGCGGGGGGTGATGACAGTCGCTGTCGTGAAGCGGTTTCGCTCCTGTCTGGTCAACCGGCTCCCTAGCCCCTGCCCTCCCCTTTTGACTGTCCTCTCCCTCCCTCACCCCTCACCCTGTCCTCTCTCCTAACGTCTCTTTCTCACCTCCCTTCCCTCCTCTCCCCCTCCCGCCACCCCCCCTACCCCCTCCCCCCCTACCCCAGGCTCCCGCCGCCTGCCGCTGGTGCCCCTGGTTGACGACTTCCGCGGCTCCTTCTCCGTGGTGGCCAACGAGGGGCCCACCTTCTACGTGAAGACAAACCTGGGGGCGCCGCGGTACAGGTGGGGGGGGGGACGGGGAGGTGGGGGGCAGGAGGGGGAGGGTAGGTGGGGCAGGAGGGGGAGGGTAGGTGGGGCAGGAGGGGAGTGAGTGAAGGTGTCAAGGGAAGGAGGAGACTAGGAGGAAGAGACTAGGAGGGATCCAAGGGGCGAGGAGAGGGCAGTCAGAGCCGGGAGGCCTCCTTGTTGTACTTCCTCACCCCTCACCTCACCCCTCACCTCGCCCCTCCTCCAACCCCACCTCCAGGATTGTCCGCATCGACGACGTGATGAACCCCGGCCCGCCCGAGTCGTGGCCCGACCACATCCCGCAGCACGACAAGGACGTGCTCAAGGTGGGGGGTGGGGGGGGGTAGAGGTGGGGGGGGTAGGGGTGGGGGAGCGGGTGGGGTCACGCTTTGGGTTGGTTTCGTAACCTCGTTATCCCCCTCGTTAACCCCTTCCCCCCCTCCCCTCCCCCTCCCTGCTGCAGGGTGCTCTGGCGCTGCAGGGCGATGCACTGGTGCTGCACTACATGAGGGACGTGGTGGGTGGGTGGGGAGGTGGGTGGGTGGGGGGTGGGGGGGGGGGGATGGGGAGCTCGATTAGCGGCCACCTGTGTACACCTGTGTGGGGTCACTGCAGTGGCAGCTGAGGCCCACATGCGTCTGATGCTCCCTGCTCTCGCCAACCTTGCGTCCCCTCCTCTCCCCCCCCTCCGTCTCCCACCCTCTCCCTTTCCCCCTCCAATACGGTACACACAGGCCTCCGTGATGCAGCTGCGCTCACTGACCCGCGGGTCGCTCCTGCGCGAGCTGCCCCTGCCGGGGGTGGGCAGTGTGGGGTCGATGAGCGGCGACCGAAAGGGCAGTGAGCTCTTCTTCTCATTCACCAGCTTCGTGGAGCCGGGTGGGGGGGGGCGGGGGCCGGGGAGGGGTGTGTGTGTTTGGTCAAGGGTGCTCAAGCGGGGAGGAGTGGGGGGAAGGATGCGGGGAGGTTGAGGGGGCGAGAGTCCGTGGCTTTGTCATGATGGCGCGCTGAGCTCAGCTCCGCCGGGCCCCCCTCCCCCCTCCCCTTCCCCCCCCCCCCCAGGCGCCATCTACCGGCTGGACACGGCCCCCGGCTGCCCGCCCGAGCCCGCCCTCTTCCGCCGCACGCAGCTGTCAGTGCCGCACGACCCGGCGGAGTTTGTAACCAAGCAGGTGGGGGGGGGGGGGCCGGGGGGAGGTATGTGTGTGTGTATTGGGGTGGGGTTAGGAGGCAGAGAAGCTTGTGACGGTTACCGCTCAGGACAGTTTGGGGCCGGGCCGGGTCGGGATGTAGTTATAGAGCAGCTTTCCCCTCCCTCCCCCCTCCCCCCCCCAGGTGTTCGTGCCCTCCCGCGACGGCACCCGCATCCCGCTCTTCATCGTGCACCGCGCCGGCCTCACCCTGTCCGGCAGCTCCCCCACGCTGCTGTACGGGTACGGCGGGTTCAACATCGCCCTCACGCCGGGCTTCAGCGCCAGCCGGCTGGCCTTCATGCGCGGGTACAATGGCGTGTTCGCACAGGTGGGTGGGGAGGGGGGAGAGGGAGGGGGGTGAAAGACCAGGTACCAAACCATAGGAGACCACAGGATAGGGCAAAGCAATGGGGGGGAGGGGGCGGCAGGGGGGAGAAGGAAAAGAGGAACCCTGCTTTGCATGGTGTTGGTGGGGGGGAAGGGAACAGGGCTGTGGTTGCCGCTGGGGGTTCCATGCGTGTCCACAGCGGCTGCAGGGAGCACACACGCGCACACGTGTGTGTGTGTTTTGACGCCCTCCTCAGCCTCGCACCTCCCTCCCGTCACCCCCCCCTCCCATTACCGCCCCCACCTGCACTCTCCCCCCCTCAGGCCAACCTGCGCGGCGGGGGCGAGTACGGCACCGAGTGGCGGGATGCGGGGTCGAAACACAACAAACAAAACGTGTTTGATGACTTCCAGGTGGGAGGGGAGTGTGGGTGAGGGCGGGGGGAGAGGGGAGAGAGGGGGAAGGGGTGAGCGGGGCAGGTGTACGGCAGGTGTCTTCGCTGGGCTGGCTGGCTGGTGCACATGCTTGCTTGCTCGCCTCCGAGAAGGACCGACACACCGCCCCAAACCTTCCAGTTAGCCCACGTTTCAGCGCTATATGACTGTTCTCCCTCCTTGTGCCGTTACGCCGCTACACGATGCAGCTGAGACACTGCGGAGGGCCTTCCGCTAACTGCCCTCCCCCTCCCCCGCCCCCTCCCCTCCACTCCCTCCCCCCCACAGGCCTGCGCCGAGTACCTGATCTCCTGCGGCTACTGCTCGCCCTCCACCCTCACCATTCAGGGTGGCTCCAACGGGGGGCTGCTGGTGGCGGCGTGCGCCAACCAGCGACCCGACCTGTTCGCATGCGTGCTGGGACAGGTGGGGGGGTGGGTGGGGAGGGGGGGGGAGCTAGGGGGTGCGCGGGGGGAAGGGTTCGGTGTGTGGAGCTCCGTCGGCGGGTTCATACCCCCGTGCTGTGTGTATAGCCCCCCCTGCCGCCAGCTCCCCTGTCCCAACTCCTCCCACCTTCATTTAGTATAGCTTTCCTTTGCCCACCCCCCCGCCCCCCTCTCCCCCCCTCTCCCAGGTGGGTGTGATGGACATGCTCCGCTTCCATCGCTTCACCATCGGCCACGCATGGACCACCGACTACGGCAACCCGGACGACCCGGACGACTTCGCCGCCATCCTGCCCTACTCGCCGCTGCACAACGTGCGGCTGCCGGCGGGAGGCAGCAGGCAGTACCCGGCCTTCATGCTGGCGACGGGTGAGGGTGGGGGGAGTAATGGGAGGGCTGGCTGGCGCGGGTGGTGGTGCGGGTGGTGGTGACTGTCCGGAGGGTGCGGATTGCTCCGGAGGGTTCAGAGGGGCTACTGGGTCCTCCCGTGTGTGGCGGCGTGGGGCAGTGCTGTTTGCTGCTACGGGTGCGGTATGCCACCGGGTGGTCGTGTTTCCATGTCACATACCCACATTCCTCTCACATCCCCTTTCTTTCCCCTAAAGGTACTGGTATCCCATACACACACATACCTTCCCTGCCCCCTCTCCCCTCCCCTCCCGCCCCCCCCAGGCGACCACGATGACCGGGTGGTGCCCCTGCACTCGCTCAAGCTGGCGGCCACCCTGCAGCACCAGCTGGCAGGGGAGGGGGCCAGGCAGCAGCTGCAGCAGCAGGAGGGGCAGGGGCAGCAGCAGCAGCAGGATGGCGGCAGCAGCGGGGGGGAGGACGGCCCCCCTCAGCGCAACCCGCTGCTGCTGCGGGTGGAGGTGAAGGCAGGGCACGGAGCGGGCAAGCCGACGGACAAGATCATCGCGGAGACGGCGGACCTGTTCGCATTCGCCGCCAAGTGCATGCGAGCCAGCTGGGCGGAGGGGGAGGGGGCGGGAGTGGGAGGAGGGAAGGAGGAGGAGGCGAAGGAGGAGGAGGCAAAGGAGGAGGGTGAGGGGAGGGAGGAGGAGGTGGCGAAGGCGGCGGCGGGAGTGGGGGTGGCGGCTGCGGCGGCGGCGCAGGCGGCGGAGGCGCCCGCGCGGGATTAGGGGGGGGCGGTGTGGAGGGGTTGCGAGGGGGTTGTGAGGTGTGGTCTCGGAGGAAGGCGGCGAGGAGGGGGAAGCGGGCGGTGAGAGGTGAGGGAGGTGGGGAGAAGGGGCGTGTGTTCCTTCCCTTCATAAAATGGATGGTGCACTTGGCAGGAAGCAGAGGCTTCCGTGCTTCAGGATGTCTAGAAGGCATGGGGAGCGAGGGGGTAAGGCATGCGTTCGTGGAGCGGGTGGATGTACATATAGGGGCGGTGCGTGGAAACCGGTGCTACTGGGGCGGTGGACGCCTTGACAGGTTGGTGCGTGTGATGTTGTCCGCATGTCAGTTTGCGGGGGGACCTGAGTACGGATTGTGCCCGGTGACCGGTATATAGTTGAAAAGCATGAATTTGACGCCGTTCACCGCAGCGAGGGGCATGCAGAAATTACAGTAGCGTTCTCGGCCGATACGCCCACGATGTACCGGTAAACATGCATATGGGATACGAGCAGTAAGTCGAGACCTGCAATGCACCGAGCCCTGGACGTATGTACCGTTATGAAATCGCAGTGCATGTACTCCAACATGTACAACTCCACTACCACCCAACACAACACGACACAACACAGCTGTGGCAAATGCATACGAAACCAACAACAACAACCGCCAACAACAACAGCAACGGTCCCTGGAAATACCGTACATGCCCGCAACACCTTCGGAAGGGGCTGCTGCTGCTGCTGCTGCAACATACCCCTGAACTGCCCACCCCTCAACTGCCCACCTTTGTCCGGCATCTTCAACGCCAATCAACCCCTCCTCGTCCTGCCACCCCAGCAGCATCTTCACGCTTCCTTCCGAGATCCCTCTTAACCGCCACTGTACTGCACGCTTCCCCCACTCCTCCTCCCTCTCCCCGCCCAACGTGTCATCCCACTCCAACCCCCCACCCCTCACGCCGTCTTGCCCTTCCTGCCTCCCGCCGCCGCCCCCGCCCCCGTCCCCCTGCCGAAGGGCGCTCGCACCAGCCAGTACAGCAGCAGACCCGTGGGGCCTTTTTGGGGGAGTGGGAGTGGGGGTAGGAGTAGCGGGGAGGAGCAAGGGAAGGGGTCACACGATGACTTGGGGGCTCTGTGAGCTGAGCGGAGAGGAGAGGAGTACTAGCCCCCGTGGGGACGACAGGTAGCAGCATGCAGCGAGAGGAGAGTCGCGCTGCTGTGCTGTGCTGTGCTGGTGCGGCCGCTGCTGCCCGCCCGCACCAACCCCGACGGGTTACATCCCCCTTCCCAGCCCCCTCCCAGCACCCCTCCCCCCCACTCACCCACGAGAAGGGTTGCTAGCAGGCAGGGGCCCACCAGCAGCTGCGGCACACCCCGGGACACAGCGTCGGCAGCAATCCAGCGACCCACCCAGCTAGAGGGGGAGGAGGGGGGGCAGAGGGAGGGGCAGAAGGAGAGGTAAGGTGAGGGCATGTGCAGAGGAGCGCAGAGGAGGGCAGGTTGCGGGGTAGGCGGGGTGGGGTGGGGGGGCAAGGCATGTCTAGAGCAGCTGCTGTAGGCCCCTCCCGGCGTCAATGCCGTGCCTAACGTGCATGTCTACCGTGCGCTTCATGCGCCCTCCCAGCACCTCCCCCAACACCCGCTCCTCCCTCTCCCTCCCCCCGCCCCTTCCCCCCTGCCGCTCACAGGTCGAAGGCGATGTAGTGCGTCCAGGCGGGCAACACGATGGAGCGGGTGGACAGCGCCCGGGCCACACCCTGGGTGGAGTGGGGAGGAGCGATCGAGGAGGTGACAGGGCGGACACGGCAGCTGCTGGACACAGCTTTCTAACAAGCGATACGGTCTGCAGTGATACGGTCTGCTGCAAGACAAGCCCGGAAATCATATAATAAAGGGTATTTTGTTTAGCGAAGTTGAAGCTTTGAAACATATTTTTGCGAAATGCAGTTCTAACCTCGAAGGTGAACAACTCGTTGAAGTCCAGCTGCTCGCCCTCCGGAGGTGACACCTTCATGGTCACGAACAGGGCGACATACAGCGCGGACATCAGCAGCGCCGTTGCCGTGCTAATGATCTGGGTGTATCGCCATCGCGGAGCAACCGCGAGCAAAATCCAGGCTGGCAGCGCAAGGTTCAGCAGGTTAAAAAGCTGGTCGTCAGAGTAAGGCAGACCGTAGATCGGCATGGCTGCTTACAGCTGTGGCGAGTTGCTCTATACCGGTAGTGCAAGTTGGAATATAGGCCGACGCAAACTACAAGCTCTTAAGTGAGCGTAGCGGTATCTTAACAAACTTCCATTAACAGGGGAAGCTACTTAGCGCGCGCTAGGCGATGGCCTTAAACGAGTCCAGGATTCGGTGGTGAGGACGATTACGCAATCACGTAATTAACACCACAATCGTGCTTTGCCCTGAATAGTGTTAATACTACACAAATCCACCCATACTTCAAATTGGGCTTAGATTTCGCGCAAAGCACCACTGTCACAACGGTACGGTAGTTAGTTATTAGGTAACAACCGCTCAATAACCCGAAGCGCATCTTACTAAGCACCGCCAGGCGAAAGCCATGGCAGAAAGCTACTATTCAACCAGTAGCAGATGGAGGGAAGTCCTACGACTTGTGTTCTTACTCCAACCCAAACCAACCAACCATTGGGCGATTCAGAAGCCGTCTGAGGGTAACCCCGCACTGCCCCTCCTCGCCACCCCGACCCGCTGCAACCCCCACGCAAGCAACCGGCGGCAGAGCCATCAGCCGCACGCCCCTTGATGACCCATAGATGCCTCCCTTGCTTGCTCCTCGTCCCAAAGCAACCTAGCTCCGATACCCTCGCTGCCACCGCTGTTACTTCTTCTGCTTCCCCACTACCTCTTACTCCTCGCCTTCCTCCTCCTCCTCCTCCTCATACCCTTCGTCATCCTCTCGCTGCTGCTCCCTCTGCCGCCGCCCCCCCTGCAGCCGCCGCCCCTGCCTCTGTGATGCCCCCCACGCCCTCCCCCGCCCCCGCAACAGCTCCCGCACCTCCTGCAGCAGCTCTTCCAGCGCCACCACCACCGTCGCCGCCTGCCGCGCCTCCACCGCCGCCACCCGCCGCTCCATGTTGTAACACAAGGTGGATTTATAAGTGGAAATATAAGTATGGGTCATACGCCTAAAGAGGCTAGTAGCCACGTCTATGATGACGCTAATGATCTCGCAATGCGACTCGAGTAACCGATCCCGGAATGGATGATCTGAATGAGTCGTACAGGGCGGCGCCCTATTTAAAGCTGGCTGACGCTAGTCTTTCCACTACCTCTCAACCTATAATCCTTCTTCTTCATCGTCAACCAAGTCATCCAATCAAGCCTATATTAGTTAAGTAGAGTAAAGCTGGAGCGACCCGGGGACTGTGCCACTACAAGTGGTATCGAGACCCGAGGTCTATCGTGGTCGCCAGGACAGCACCCTTTGGGCTACATTTGCCACAAGACGCTTTGGAAACAAGTGCCAAGTCTGAGACGCCGGCAATACGGATCATCCAGTGAGATATGAACCTGCTGCTGGACATTGTCGGCCGCTTCGCTGCTTTGAGCCTCAATAGTGGGTTCTGACTTTGTTCTTGAACGTTTACTCCTGTTAGCGGCCAGATCTTAGACCATTGTCGATCCGAAGGCCGTCGCGACCTGTTGGTCACCTGCTTTCGCAAAACTTTGCTGCTAGAGTTATCACGACCCGTGGGTCACTTGCTTCCGCTGAACATTCTAACGAACCTCAGGTTGTTCCGACTTTACTTTACGCTTTGTTTAATAACACTTGTACCCACATTTCACTAATCCCCAGTGTTAAGCGAACGCGCAAAGTCCTCACCGGCCCCGACGGGCTTTTCGATCTTTTCGGTGCGAGGGTCCTCGCCCGATATCAACGGTGAGCGACGTGAGTGATCTCATTGCATGATTGCATGATTGCTAATAATCCTGATGGATCCTGGAAGTATTTTGAGCGGTATGCCAACCGATGTTAGGAATCTGCTGGTGCAGTTGGTGCAGGATGCCATTTTGACGCAAGGACATGCGAATGTTGCTCCGCCTGTTGGCACTGGAGCACATGTGCCGCAGCTCCCTGTGGGAGGATCCTTACTGCCTATTGCGCCTTTGATTAATGTAGGCCAGCAGACGCAAGGCGCGTCGACGTCGGCTGCAGCGGCTGCGCCGCCGCCGCCTCTACCGCCGGTGGCTGATGGGACTGCTGCTGCTGTTGCTGCTCCTACTACTGGACCTTCTGCTGCTGCTGCAGCACCTGTCAACGCTGCGGTCGCAGCACCGGTGAACCCTGATGGGGCTCAGATCAACCAGTCTGCTGTTGCAGCTCCTCCTCCTCCTCCTCCTCTTCCTCCTCCTCCTCCTCCTCCTCTTCCTCCTCCTCCTCTTCCTCCTCTTCCTCCTCCTCCTCCTCCTGCCGCTGCAGCACCGGTCGCAGCGCCAGTCGCAGCTGTTCCTAACGCTGCTGTCGCAGCTCCTGCTGATGCAGTTGGCAGTGCTGCCGTCGCAGCTGGTCCCGTGGTACCCGCTGCGGTGCAGCAGGTGCCAGTTCAGCCGCCGCCAGTGGCAGCAGCTCAGCAACCGGCGTCAACCGGACAGTCCTCGGCAGAGAACCTACTTCAGCAGCTGAGGCACTTGCTTGAGGCGCCGACCAACGCCGCACAACCCGTTCAGCCTGCGGTGCAACCGGCTGCCGGCGCAGTGCCGATGGACGTTGATACGATGGGTGCCGCTGCGGGAGCGGCAGGAGCTGCGGGTGCCGGTGGTGCCGTACAGGTGGGTCGATTGGTTCAATCGCCCAAGCTCCTTGTCGTGAGCGGCAAGTCAATTGATGCGGATCGGGTGCATGCATTCATTGATGACACTCGACTTTTCTGGCGGATTAACGGCGTAGCCAATAACCGCGATGTGCAAAAACTGTTCCTTAGCGGGGCCCTAGAAGGGGAGGCGAAAGCCTGGCATGTGCTGTGGACGCGTGCGAATCCCGAGTACACCATAGAACAGTTGTTCACCGCTCTCCTTTCACGCTTTGCGCCTGAGGTGCAACCCCGTACTGAGCTAGCGCAACAGCAGTTGACTAGCGGACTGTTCAAGCAAGGGGCTAGCGAGGCCGTTGAGACGTTTGCTAGTCGCTTTCAGTCCTTGGTTCAGGACATCCCTACCCTGCCGGAAGAACTGCGTTGCTTCCATTTCCGTAAGGCACTTCTGCCCCACCTACGTAAGGCAACTACATGCAACCCATTGACTTTCCAGCCTCACACCTCTTTCGCCTCACTGCTCACACATGCCCAGGGGGTAGAGCGTCAAAACCTGTTGGAAAATGACACGGTTCGCGGTGCGATCCGTACTAACGCCGTGTCGGCTGGTTCCTTTCTGCCTGTTCAGGAGCCGGAAGTTCCGCCTCCTACCTACGCCGCAGTCGCTGCTGGCAGGGGCCGTGGTCACGGTGACGCCGGTCGCGGCAATGGCCGTGGACGTGGGCGTGGAGGCGCTGATGACTTCGGCGGTGGAGGAGCAGGCAGGGGCCGCGGAGGCGCTGGGAGGGGCTATGGGGGTGTTGGCGGAGGCTATGGCGGTGCGGGCAGGGGCTACGGCGGTGCCGGTGGGGGCCATGCGGGTTACGGAGGTCCCGGACGGGGTGGAGAGTTCGGGGGACGCGGTGCGGGGCGCGGAGGTTTCCGTGGTGGTGGTCGTGGTGGCCGTGGTGGTCGTGGGGGCGGGCGCTCTCAGGGGCCGTACAAGCGGAATTACGATGATGAGCCGGCCGAGAAGGTGGGGCCCGGAGGGATGCAGATCCCGAAGGGCGTGCTGAAGCGCAGGCGCCGTGACCAGTGCTGCTGGTGGTGCAATAGCGATCAGCATTGGTCGGATGACTGCCCGCTATGGACGGTGCACGGTGGGGGCCCGGGAGGATCGGGGCCTGGTGCGGGCAAGCCGGGAGGCTCGGGTGCCGGTGGCGCTGCAATGAACGCCTAGGAAAATACCCTAGGAGAATGTGGGGTTCGTCGAACTCCTAGGGACCCGTCGGTCATGGTTAATGTGTTGAGTGGTCGCGTAATAAAGTCCACTGAGGTGGCAGCGCTTGAGCAGCGCATTGGCAGGACGTTTTCTTTGGACGCCTGTGCTGCAGACCACGGTTGGGACTCAATGTGTAAGGTTTACACTTGTTCGGGTCGTCCATTTTGCCATACCGACATCGGCGGACATACTGTGTGGCTTGACGTGCCCACACCACAGCTTTGCCACTATCTTACGCATTATCGTACATGCAAGCAGTTACATCCAACCACTACAGCCGCATGCATCTTGATTCCTGATGATGTTCAGGTGCCTGCTTCTTTAGTGGAAGGGATGATTCCACTTCACAAATACCCCGTGGGAACGCAGTTGTACTGTGCTTTTGGTTTACAAGGAGATGATCAACTCCTGCCTGGGATTACCACTGGTGTTACAGTTTGGTATGATGCGCCTAGTTTTGGGGAGTCCCCGCGCTGTGCTGCAACTGGCGATGAAACACCAAGAGTGATTGCTGAAGTTGCGGGCAAGAAGGTAACGGTCCTGTTGGATACGGGTGCCAGCCACAACTTTGTGTCGCAATCTTTGGTACAACAGCTCAATGTTCGAGTTAAGGATTCAAACTTCTCGCACGTGAGCTTAGCAGACGGGGGTAGTTCACCTATCCTTGGTCAGACCTCGCTAAGGCTGAAGCTAGGTCCTATACGGGTTCAGGTTCCAGCGCTGGTGTTATCCAACCTTACGGCAGTAGCTGATGTGATCATGGGAGCGCAAACGTTGAAACAATACCAAGTCACAGTGGACTTTGCCTACGGTGTAGCTCGCTTTCGCAAACGGAACCTTACGTACCGTGTATCCTTTGGTCGGACAATTCAACCTGAAGCTGCAGCAGCAGCTGTACAATCACGTGAAGTTCATCACGTCGTGGCTGCGTTTATGAACGGATCTGAGATTCGTACTGTCAACCGCAAAGCAGCTAAACATATGATGCGTAAAGGGGCACACGCATTGATGATCCGACCAAAGATACGAGCTGACGCCGTGTTGAGACAGGCAGCGGCTCGCGCGGATAAACAAATGGGTCAACCGCAGAGTCAGCCAACCGGGTGTGGCACCGAACCGGTTACCGCTGCCGCAGTTAACGTCGGACAAACGATGGGCCCGGAGTCGGCGATGTTAACTGATACAAACACAAGTAAGACTTCTGAACAAACGACGGACCCGGAGTTCAAAGCTTTACTTGATAAATACGAAGTGATCTTTAGGGACCTGACGGGGCCACCACCAGATAGACCCGTGGAACACACAATACCGTTGCAACCAGGCGCAACGCCAATTGCTAGACCGCTCTACCGCCTAACTCCCGCAGAGTTAGAAGAGGTGAAACGCCAGGTGGCA